ACACGCGACTTGCCATTTCAGACAGAACATTTTTCGGCCACCTGTGTGAGTGTCTATGTTTGGTTAGGGTATGTGTGTGTGTGTTCTTTTGCGGGTGTATGAGTGCCTGTGGGTGTTACATTTTGCGGTATTCTATGTTTGTGTTTGGCTTACACTTAAACAAAATTGCTTTTTGCTTTTGTTTTCATGTCAGTTAGGACGGGAGGACATATGGGAAGAAACCCAAAACATATTTTGACCTTTTAAAATTTTGCTCAAGGGTTTTTGCTATAAAATCAGTTTTATGTTAAGTAAAATCGATATGATGTTTACTTTAAAAGATGGTTAAGCTACTAGTCAAATAAAATGGTTAGTAAAACAGAAAACTTGTCTGAGGTTCAAAGAATATAATATTTTCATGAGTTGTTAGGAAACAAACATAAAATATAAGGATTACATTTCTTAAAATGTATATACATTTTTTTCCAGTGCAGGATCTAGCTTTTGCTGCCTCTTTATCTTTGCTGTCGACGCCCTTTGTGCAAGTGTACCTTGTGCAAAATTTACTGCAGCGCCAAAGTTTTCAGCAAAATTACGGCCATAAAGTAGCAGTCAGCAGAAGGTGGCCGCAGCAATAATGTGCCGTAATTAAAGGTGGAGGATACCTTTGAACATCATTTCACCAGTATTCCGTGCCGCCCAGCTATAGCTTATCAAAAGCAGAACTTGCTGCTTCATGGTTATTATATAAGTGGCTGTTTTATGAAGACTTCTTCTGGGAACTACTTAAGAATTCTGGACAGGAAAGGTCAACAAACACGAGCCTGCGATAAGGGCCAGCATTTGTCAATCCCACGGAGATCACATCTCAGAAATCAGAACTACGTGACATTGAGCTCGACGTGCTGCTCCTTCTGCTACCGGAATTTTTGGTACTCGGAATGCGGTTGTAAATGCCGGCTAATCTATTTTAAAAGCGTATACAAATTTCAATCAATATTCCTTTTGTTGCTTCTCAAAATACATTCAGTACACTCACATTGGCCACGTGTTGCTGTCATAGATACATAATTCCAGTAGCCAAAAGGGAATTGTATCTATGGTAGTAAGTAGTTGTATCTAGTTAGTTGAACTTGCATATCTTGGATTGAAAGGACTTAGCTGAATGCAAATACCAAAGAAATAATAACGACGAGGATAAAAAATATATTTTTAAAAAAGGAAAATGTTTGGAAATGGATGATTTTACATAAATGTTACTTCTTTAGTTTTCAATTTGTTACCATACATTTATCTATATTTTTTAACTCCATCTCCTCCAACTTAATACATTTTCCTAACATTTACTAGAAACCTTAAAGTTTCACAGATCTAAAAAATGTGTAACCTCTCATCTAACGCACTTTCGATTGCCAATGGCCAACGACCACTTGATCTCTGGCCCATGGTCATGTCCAATGTCGAAGGGATCTTTATGACAGCCGGGCAAGCCATAAAAAGTATTTCAGCAAATAAAGCAAACGGCAGAGAGGGGGTTGGGGATTTTTATACAATTTGTTGGTAACGAGCCATCAATATTGTATCTTTCTATGTTATCCTCGGACGCTTTTATGGCACGGAAATGTCCTTGTCTGACTGTGCATATCGAAATTGGTAATTGTTTGGCCCGGTTGATTGTCACGCAGTTTGGTTAGAGGTTTTCAATTTGTGCCCTGAACCTTGGTGGCGTAGGTGCGAGCACTTAACCTGGCTTAAAGCCACGAAAGACACACACACACACATATATACGCCCACGTAAAAACCGCTCAACCACATAATCATAGCACAGCCTACATTAGATTGGAAAACCAACAAAAAAAAAACCCCAAAAATAAGAGGAAAAAAGTGTCAAACAACAATATTTGAGTGGCAAAAAGGCAGAGTGCCAAATGTTGCGTATACGCAACGTAATCAAATAGAATGTTTTTCGGTTTAGCAGCCACTTTTGCGGTAACGTCGGTGAAATGCGATTACTGCACCTATAAATTTGCAGCCTAATGAAAGCGACCAGGTATTGCGGTAACATTCCGGCAAATTATTTAATCTAAATCCTCTCGAAAATCGCAACATTTTTCGCACACCACTGCCTTTGGCGCTGGCGTTTTAAATGGAAATTATTAAATTCATTAGCGTTCATTTCGCTGAAAATGTATCTTTAATTGCTTTCCCGGAAGCGGAACCGTTGGCAAAAACGAAAGGAAACAAAATGGTAGCAAAACGAGAAAAGCCATAGAAAACTTTTAACTGGGGAGGGAGCTCGCTCTCACAAAGGACACTAAACAGTTGACAATTCCGTTTTGCTGGCACACGACTCAAATGTTCATATTGAATTAGTAAAATTGCATGCATTTTCTGCTGCGCTCTGCCGAACGAGATGAAATTCAACTAAAATGTGGCCACACGACTGTGCAGAAATTTAATTCGACAAAAGCTTCGAATTTAGCACTTTATTTTTTGCATTTCATTGAAAGAAACCATTCCAAGGATGCCTGAAAAGTTCTTTTTTGTTTTTACAAATGGAGTTTAAACATTTTAATGTCTTAAAACTGTAAAATTTAAAAACAATAAAATTCCATTTTAAAAGATAAATATTTAATTCTATGAAATTTGATATTAAAGCCACATAAACCGAGTCTGCCTTAACCTTAACTTTGATATATTATTTATAACCCTCGTTGGTTGGTCGTGTTGTCTTTGGCAATACTTTTAAACAACGTTCCATAATCCTTCTGGAAAAGAGAGTTCGCGTTGTCACAGGCAGCTAAAAGCATCTTCAAGTTTCCACGCTTAAAGCAAAAGTGTGTGCGTGTGTCAGTGGTTGTTAAATAAATATTACACATACGCCCTGTGCGGCAGTAGCAAAAATAAGATGATGGCAAGAGCATGGCTGCTGATAATTCAGCTCGCGATACAATGGCGATGAAAATCGGAAGATATGGCATCATATCAAACTCTAAAAAATGTACTCTCTCCTTTTTTTGGGGCGTTGAGAAGGGTGAATATTTTCGGGCATTAACGGGGTACTGAGGGCATGGAAGGCTAAGGATGACGTAGGTGTCTGTGTTCTTTTTCTTTGGTCATTGTACTCGATTCGCTGGCCATCCAATTTTTTTTCAGCCTGGACCGCACAAAAATGCGACGTTATTATCATTGATGAAAGGACAGCCTGGCGAGCCGAATTTATGTTTATGACGCTCCTATGTGAATAAATTATGGCCTGTGCAACCATTTTCTTTTTTTTTTATATACGCTTTCTGTCTGTTGTCATCAATTCATACATAAATATACGTATACATATGTGCAGACGGCTGCATATTTGGGCAAACACTCATTTCCGGCTTTTTCCCAAAAAGTATGCAACAAAATTCGTATATTGCGTATACGGCACTGTCATTAACAGAGGGACAAGTTCGTAAAGGGGCGTGTCCTAAGCACTCTCGATGTAACATCCTTTCGTACTTCATGCGAGAATACACTTCCTTTACCCCATCATTATTTTCAGTTACCGCTTTTTGCGTTTGCTTCTGTCGCTGTGAAGGACAAACCGGCAATTGGATTTTCCCGTTTCCCCACCAGGAATTTTGGCACTTTAAAAAAATATTTTTGCCATTTATGAACATTAAATTAAAAATTAAGATTCTTTAATGATAGATTTTTAATTCTTTCAGCTAATATATGTTTATAAAGTCCAAAACTACTGAGATGAAGACTTTGAAATTCAACTTCATGTGCCCATCCAAGTATAATATTTAAAAATTCTTTCTGCATCTTCTTTGTGATTTCAAGGAGAAATCAACAAAAATGCACCTGAGTGTATAAATGTTTAGAAACATTTCCGGCTTAGCCTTCCTCCAGTGTATATATTGATAACCTTCCGTTTCGACAGGCGTTTGGATCTTTTCCTTTTTTAAATTTCTTCACTTTTAAGGCACATCCTGCGATTGGCCTCGATATCCTGGCGCTTCGCAACGCGATAACTTTCAATAAGCGACATTTAGCGCTCGGGTGCACAAAAAGCATTTGCGTAATTAATTAAGTCATCTGCTGGGTTTGTTTAGGGGCCATATCTTGAAGATTGTGCGGCACCGCCAAATGCAATTCCCCGTTTACGCCTGGCTTGGTCTACGCATTTCGAGAATTTGCGATGTGAATGCCAAATGAGCAAATACAAATTTGTGGCTCACAACATGGGCATTTAACACTTGCCAAAGTGTTCCAAAAGGAAAGCCACAAAAATTACAGGCATTTAAATAGAATCCCCATTAATCAAGGACAAGACATTAACTCGTCATCTTGTATACCATTAAATATCAAATTTCCTTCTGGGCATTTCTATCAAAGTCTGTCATAAAGTGTGTTTGTATGTGTGTGGGGGGATAGGAAAATTTCGAGTAATTAACAAACTGGAAAGCCATTATCCCGGGCGGTAAAACACAATCCAATTCGAGGACAACACAGATATAAATAAATCTTCTTGGGACTGGACCCCAAAAAGTCTTTGCCACCGAAGCACATTTTTGGCCTGCGACTCAGTCGTAGTTAATCAACTTCTTTTTTTTTTGCTTTTCGGTTTGGAAAAATTCAATTGCTTGCTTTTATTGTCGGCGACGTCGTTTAGCGTTTATGTGGGCCTACGAGTTGGGGCCAAAAACTTTTCTGGCGCTGACTTGGGTTACCGCCGCCTCAAATCATTTATACTGGCTCCTTATTGATCGTGACCAGACATAAATTCATCAATATTTCGACTCGAAGGATGACGTCAACAGATGCTACCAGATAAAACATGGACAAAGGCAATTAGATTGAATGGCGCATTGGCTATTGAGGGAAGATGACTCTTTGGCTCTAACCAATACCAGTTCATCCTTTAAATATACAAAATATTTCTTAAACCTTGAATTATTTCTTATCTTACAAACATATTTTCTGAGTATAACAGATGCCGTTAAATTCCTACGAAAAATGAAACCTTTGACTGGCAATTCTCAGAATATACAAAAAATGGCTTTATTAAAATTCATATAATTATTAGAGTTCTCTCCACCTCTACACCTTCACCCCAATTTCGCCCGGTGTAAAGACCTTGACATTGCGATCGTTGACCTTATAGAGAACCTCCTTACGCGTCTCCTCGCACGCATAGCTGCCCACGTCCAAAACCCGTTCGATTAAGAGCTTGCCATCGACCTCGCGGAACACACCGCTCTTCAAACGCAAAACCTGGATGCGAACCTGACCGAGCTTGGCCACATTGTTATCCGTTAGCTGGTAGATGTCGCTGTTGCTGAGCTTGGTGATCACCGTCAGGTTTTCCCGCTCCTTGGCAAGGGCAGCCAGATCTTGGCAGAACTGCTGGACCTGCAACTTGCTCGCTCCCAGATTGAACAATATGGACAAATTATCAATCAAAACAGTGTAAGAATTTCGACTGGCATAATTGCTCTCCACCTGGGCACGAATGTCATCCATAAGCTGCTCAGTTAATGTCTGACCCTCGGAACTACGCAGCCACTTGGAGGCCAAACCCTCGCCGGCCATGTCGCTCAGAACATCGATAACAGCCAGGGTTTTACCCTGGAAAATGTTGGTGTTGTAGCCCAATCTCATGCCAGCATTGAAGTAATGTTGATAGTGATGCTGCAGGCAGACCAGTAGGGTTCCAGCGTTCGAGATGCGTAATCTCTGACCCAAGATGCAGCTGATCAGGAAGCTGCCATCCACATTGGACTCCTCGCTAATGTGCACGAATCCTGGCAGTTTCTGCTCATTGAGTCCACAGGCTAGCAGCACTGAGGTGGCCATTATTTCGTCTGGGCGTGCGAATCTAAAATAGCATGAAAAAGAACAACCATGAGTCAATTTGTAAATGTCATCTGCGGAGTTCAATTAATTAAGTGCGCAGTATTTTTGTTCGTTTTTTTTTTTGTTGCTAGCACGGGTCACGTGGGGACCAAACCGATGAGGTTAAAAACACTTGAGCGGGGCCAACAACTTGAAATTTATTGGCCAAAAATTGTGGAGGGAAAATGAATAAGAAGGGTATTTCCATCTTGTCACTTCATCATTGCTGTCAGCGGCACACGTGGCTACCATTCAAGAAATTGTACTTAATATACAAAAAAGTAAATATACCGAGCTATAATAAATTGTAAAGTATTAATAAAAAGTGAAAAATAAATGCACGTTTTGCTTTTGCTAAGGCTATCTTTGCTTAACATCTTGTAAAAGAATAATTTCTAACTTGCGTTTAATATTATTCATCATATTTTAGGTGCTAAAATACTGTAGATATTCAATAATTGAATTAATACAAAGATTTAAAGGAAAACCTCTTACTACAAAATCAAAATTAAGTGAAAAATAAAAAAAAATTATTCTGGCCCATGAGGGGATCGAACCCGCGACCTTCGCGTTATTAGCACGACGCTCTAACCAACTGAGCTAATGGGCCGTTGTTTCAAGTCCCGACAAATGCCCACTTAAGCCCCAAAGCTCTTAGGATTCCCCAACGTGAAAAGGAAAAGCTTTCTAAAGAAGCTTTCCTAGGTTATTTTTGAAAAACAATTGCTTCGCAGTTCTTTTCCACAGTATTTAATCAAAATTTAACACTAGGGATAAAGTTGCTAAAATAGCTGGGAGATACTAAAAGCGTTAATGGCGGGACATGCTAGAAAAACGTGCACAAAATATTTAAATAAGGTTTAAGCATGCTGTTAATAATAGTTGGTAAAAATATTTGCCTTTTCATTCTCGTTATAATTCCTTATCACGACAATATCCCGGACCAAGATTACAGGCTAAGCAACAGATTTTCCGCTTAGAAGCGCTAACTATTTGCAGTACAGACAAACAGAAAACATTCTAATTAAACCTTGACTCCGAAGTGCATTACACAAAACGACTTAAAAGAAATCGAGCTGTGTTTGTAATGCCCATAGAAACTATTTAATTAGGCATAAAATTAAAATGTTATGACAATTAGATGACTGAAAGGCAGTCTCATGATTAATGTGTTTTGGCGGGCACACGCCTGGATTTTCTTGCAATTACATAAATGTTTGACAAGTGGAAAAATTGAGTCATTTCCACATGGCATTTTCATGATCACACCATAATGACCGAATGGAAAATGAGATAGTGAATGGGTTTACCAGCTATTCCTGGTAATATATTACAAAAGCTCACGATTACACCGTAATAGCCATGTATTATGAGTTCTTATGTGAAACGATACCATCATCATAACACACACACACTCACACACCCCCAAAGTTTGGAGAGCCAACGCGTTGCGTTGTCAATAAAAAAAAAGCTCTCACCACTTTTGTTTGATGTTGACTCTCGATTCGATCAGTGTAGTGTACCGCTTGTCGTACCGCTTTCTCTCGCTCTCTCACTCTCTCGCAGTGTCGCCCTGCTGACCGCCAACCACCGACTAACTAACCACGTCGATCCCGCTCCGACATCGGGAATTCGAATCCCCAGATCCCGGTGACTGTCCCAGTACCAGAACACTTCCGACATGCTCGCCTTGACCGCGCGATAAATCGGACCTGAGTCAAATCCAGAGCGCACGAGGGACACTCGAAAAAAATATTTACATTTTCTGAATATTGAATTCAAGAACGTTTGGAGAAAGTCATATTGTAGTTTCTTTCTAAATATTATTTTAGTACTTAAGTACTTTTTTATACCATTTACACTCAAAGCTATAACAAAATTTGATATTGGAAATATTAGCTTATATAATTATTTAAGTTTTGTTAATGTGGGTATTCTAATTAACATTTTAACCCATCATATATTGCATATTTTTCTAAATTGTATGAATTTTTATTAAGTTATTATATACACACTATAATGTGCGATTATATCCGATTTATGTGTCAGCTACTTAAAAACTTAAAAACATTTAAGTTACTGATTGACAGGTTGAGTACTTTAAACTAAATTGTGATTGACAGATAATTGTTTTTGAACAAATATTTAAATGCATGGCTGTGAAAGCAAGTTCATAAAATTCAGTACTTATTGATCTTTAAAGATTGTTTGTAATTTATATGGATAAATAATAAAAAAGAGGAAAATATCTATTAGCGAACGTTTTAGTAGAGGTTTTATAAAACTTTGCCAACCATACTCCAACCACAACTCCATGATTTATTAACTTTAACCCTTAAAAATGTTTATAAAATATATAGGTAGAAATATTATTGAGTTTCTAGGTTTGCTTTCAGCTCTCTATTTTTTCTAGTGTAGTGGTTGACTGTTGCCGGCTGTTGTGTGGGATATGGCGCGCTGCTGTTGGCGGCGATCAGTCCGCTTTCGGTGCTCAAGCATTGCGTTTCGTTCGCCTCCAGCAGCAGCTAACATACCCCTGACCAATCCCATTTCCCGAAACCCAGACCAGACCAGTTTGTGTGACCAGCGATGACGTACTGAGGTCTCTCGATCTCTCCTCTCTCTCTCACTGTCTGCTTGGTTCTCCCTCTCTCTATCGCGCTCTCCTGGTGTGCCAAAATACAAATTATAAACTTATTAAATAGTTTTCTTTGCGGAAAGAAGACAACAAAAAGCCATCAACACCAGGAAAAGCAGAGGCAGCAGCGTTTCTTGTTCAAGGTAAATACGCCATCAGCTGTGGCCGCTTTTCCACATGTACATTTTTTTTATGTTTTATTAGCAATTTAGCAATTGCAATTGCAATTGCAGTGTCAGTTTATTTGTTATTCAATTTGCAAGGCAAACATGCGGCTTCGAAATGGGCAAACACCCGTAGAGATAGTGTTTCAGACGGATTAGTGAATTATCATGCGATGTTTCGCGCCCCGAAAGGTTATAGAACGATCGGAAAAGTTTAGTTTTGTCCCCCCAAAAAAATCAGCTGTTTTGAAGTAGTAAAATCCATTATCAGCTTGACTTTTTTGGGGGCTCGATTAAGAGCGAAAACAACTTTTAAGAATACCAAAAACTGATCATGTGATATTTGTTATTAATTCGACTTTGACCATTGCCACTCATTTTTATATTCAGATAAAATTCAGTCAAAAAAAAAAACGAAAATAAAACAAAACAAGAAGAGAATGGCGGCTTATTCTCTGCATATAATTTATGAAGCAATCGATGCACGTGTATGTTCCCAAAACAAAAATAGTAATTGAATAAATAAATAAAAGCGGATGGGCCGGGAAAAACAGAAATACAGAATCTAACACATGCTGGCAATAATGTTGTGTACCGGGATTTCAATCGATGATAAAAATGTTATCTATCTATAAACACGACCCGGTTACCGGGTCCAACTAAAGGTTGATAAGGCAGGGACATCAAACGGGTCTATAAAGATTGTTACTCCCGGGTTTCGGGTTCATAAATAGCAGCAAAAAAAATTAGAAAAAACAATTTGTCGATATGGATACCAACTGAACACACACATATATTATAGCTGAAGATAATGTGCCCTTGAATTTGGTTTAAGCCAAAGTAAACTACTACTTTAACAATGGGTTAAACATAAAGAGGTTGAGACTCGAATTATACGAGGTAGTACCTCAAGAAGTTTGGATAAATATGTACAGATAACTCTATTTAAACAATCTTTTGTTTGCCTGAATATTCATCAAAAAACATAAAATTCTATAAAATGATCAAAATGAACATCTTTATTTTGTATCACTATTGAATTATTTGTAATAAATTTAATAGACATACGAATTGTAAATCTCTGTTGTTTTATATGATCACATTACTTTTATTTTTATTTAACTAAAATCGGAAAACTATATATCCTCCTATATAACCATGATCAGCAGGACAAACTTGACATAAGAACGTTGGTATTAGCCACCAAATTACAGTCTACCTGATTCTAACCAATTTTGATACGAATTTATCGTAGAATGAATACTCAGTCCTGAATAATTTAATATTTTAGCTGAATAGCTTTTAGCTGAAATAGTTTTTAGCCCATTAGTTAGCCAAAATTGTTTATCAAGAACCTAAAAATTACGTATAAAAACAAATCACTTGAACTCTTCGATAGGGCCATTTTGCAAAGTAGAGTATAGACAACAGATAAGCCAAAATTTTGCAGCCCTTCCTCTCCACTTTTGTTCCCATTCTGATGGCCTGCATTTATAGATTTTTTATCTCAGTCCAAATATAAAACCATGACCGATGTTAGTAGCAAACTTTGTCAAATGTGCAATTCCAAAATGTAAACAACGTTTGCGACGATCAAAAACAAATTAAAATAGCCAAATCGCAAATTGAATGACGCTGCCCGGCAATGGCGACTTGTTGCGCAAGTTTGTGGGCGCCCAAATATCGGGTCAATTACTTACTCGTGGATATAGTGGGCTGGCGAATATTAAAAACTCTTCACTGCTGCCTGGGAAAACACTTTTTCTGTTTAGTTTACGAAACAAATATACAAATTTGACATGAAAAACATGTTGTAGGTACTAGTATGACCATAATTAGCAACGATCAGATGTTTTCCAGGGCTGGCAATGCAAAACGGGTGCTGTAAAACGCAGAACAAATGGTGTTACAGTTAACAGAATGTTAAATGCATAGTAACGGCTGTACATTCAAGTTTTGATTTGACTTTTAAAATTCATTGTTTTCTATTTAGTTAATAAACTAGTTTTTTAACTATAAATGTTTTTAGTTTACTTTTACTTTAATTAATTTATAAATCGAAATGTCCTTATGGACAGTTAAATATTTCCCTTTCGTAAGAACCCTATGATAAATATTTTGGGCTACGCCCTCAGATAACAGTTACCACTTTTTGCCAAAGCTTTCAAGCTAAGCTTTCGCGCAACCGCCCAGCTGTTATCGCAGTGTTTGTGGGTCCTTAAATTCCGCCAGTTCCTTATACATCAGCCCACCGGCATGACATAACACAACCAACCCACTGAAAATGCCGCCCCTCAAAAGGGATTATATTTAGGCGCCGTACCAAACTTTTATACATAGGTATAGGAAAGATATCCAATTAAGAGTTTGAATAAAATATAATTTTTATCGACTTTCAGTTGATCGAACAGTCGACCATAAAATGGCCAAACAAGAGAGGAAATCGAAGTGGTTCTTCGGCGGATTGGCGAGCGTTGGAGCCGCAATGGTTACCCACCCACTCGACCTCATCAAGGTCACGCTGCAGACGCAACAAGGACACCTGTCGGTGGCCCAGTTGATCCCGAAACTAGCCCGTGAACAGGGAATATTGGTTTTCTACAACGGCCTCTCCGCCTCGATGCTCCGACAAATGACCTATTCCACGGCACGATTTGGGGTCTACGAAGTTGGAAAGGACTACGTCAGGACGGACACCTTCTCCGGCAAGGTGGCCCTGGCTGGACTATCGGGCCTCGTCGGTGGAATCGTGGGAACTCCAGCGGACATGGTCAACGTGCGGATGCAGAACGACGTAAAATTGCCCAAGGAACAGCGACGCAAGTGGGTTTTTAACCTTTAAACAGATTTACGAAACTTTCCATTTGGGTATTTCCTATTTGTATAATAGTTTACACTATAAAGCAATCAACCAATTTTTAATTTTTATTTATGTTTTTATAACACGCGATTATTGAATATGAGTAGAATTTACAAATCACGCGATTGATTAATTTATTCAGTTAATGATATGAATTTGAAGTGCAGCTCGTTACTAACCACAATCTAGTTAGTTTAAAAATAATTTAGCAAATTACTCTTTCGAAAATTTGTATTTCTGCAACCTTAAAAACAATACTTAAATCTTCGATTTTCTTAAATTTCAGCTATAAGAACGCCTTCGATGGACTGTTCAGGGTGTATCGGCAGGAGGGATTCGCGCGACTCTTCTCTGGCGCCACCACAGCGACTGCCCGTGGAATCCTGATGACCATCGGCCAGATTGCTTTCTATGACCAGACGAAGATCTACCTGTTGGCAACACCTTATTTCCAAGACAACCTGGTAACGCACTTCACCGCCTCTCTGGTCGCTGGAACGATAGCCACCACTCTGACCCAACCGTTGGATGTACTAAAAACGAGATCAATGAACGCGAAACCCGGGGAGAATATGCTGGACTTTGGGATGTGGTCAAGCATACGGCCAAATTGGGACCTCTTGGTTTCTTCAAGGGCTATGTACCGGCCTTTGTGCGTTTGGGTCCTCATACGATCATCACGTTTGTGTTCTTGGAGCAACTGCGTCTGAACTTTGGCACCAAACAAAGCTAGCCGGGATCCTGAACTTGATTCGACAAATAGGCAATAATTCTCCCATGGCTGGCTGGCAGATTCCCTTGAGCAATGCTAACATTCCAGCTGCAATTCGTTCACTACAGTATCGAACATAACTTAAGTATAGACAGTTCCAATTGTTAACCAAGATGCTTTTATGATAGCAAAATATTTGTTGTTAAGCCTTTCATGACCGTCTATATCCCGAAACATGTTTGCTTTACCTACAGGACTTGATACATTTTTAAACATATTTTTCCTTATTTGCTTACAATTCGTCATGAATATTAATTTATAGTTGAAATATATACTTTAGATTTTTGGTAATTCGTTGCTTATAAAACTACTTTTTCACAAAGGACTAAAATATTTTTTCCGGAACCTGAACAAACTTTCGGTTATTATAAAAATAAGGGCATGAAAGGTCTAAGTTAAGCTCGATCGTACTTCATCGTCATTGCCGTTAGCCGCTGTTAGCAATTAACTATAATCTGAGCATTTGCTTGTTGTTGCTTTATGTGTTAAGACTGCCATGCAATAATTTAATAAAAACAAACGCAAAAAAGTATTTTGTTTTGAGCAGTAGTTATCAAATCTTACCTTAACAAATGGTTCTAAAAAAGAATTATTAAAATATTAACTATTTCGTTGGGCTAAAATTATCATACATGGTAACTTATCATCAGTGCCGTGATGTTACCAATTAAATATAACTCCTTATCAATGGCTGACCATCAGCTTGATGTAGTTGAAAAGCAGTGAAAAGCGTCATGCAAAAATTACAACAAAATCAAACGAATTTTAACCTGATATCAATTTTAGTTTTTACGGCAATTTGATTGTTGGGTCTCTCCGGTCTAGATACTTATAAGCCCTCGGAATTGATGATTAATAATTGAGCATCTTTCCCCAGAGCCGTTTTTTTTTGATTCAAAGGAGCATCTGTTGGTGCTAGGAGTTATTTTACTGACCACTAATCTTCTAGCGGTTAAAGCAGAAAAGGTATGGTCTCGAAAGATTGAAGATACCAATTATTTGGAGAGTCTCGTAGTTATCGACCAACCCCAATAATAGAGTTAGACTTAAGAATCGCAAATCCATTTAAGACCTCGTCGTACCTGGCCTCAGTGCCGTGCTATTAGCAGTTAAATATATTTCATCACCAAAGCTTAGCTGATTGTAGTTCTATTGGTTAAAACCGTCAACAATTATACAAAACGAAATCAAACAGATTTTATCCCGATATTAATTACACCACGTACGGCAATGCCCTGATAATTTCCGGTACATGCTATAATGGGATTTGTGGACCACGTCCAGTTCAGAAACTTATAAGCCCTCGGAATCAGTTGATTGAAACTCAGCCCTCAAAGCCGTTAAAATGGGTTTCTCTTCTGGCTCAGCTCAGCATTTTGTGGTGGTGCTGGGAATCATTTTACTGACCACCAATCCTTTGGTTCAAGCAAGAGAGCTAAGACTTCGCAAGTTTGAGAAGAGGAACGAGGATACCGAGTATCTGGAATGCCTAGTAGGTGTCGCCAGGTCCGAGATAAACTTATTGGAAGTTTATGGAGAACTCAAACTTCATCATCATATCGACAACGATTGGACGGCATGGATAAATACTTACTTACTTAAATATATAATATTTATAATATATCATCCCTTTACAGATTGAATTTATTATTTTACGAGCCGACGAAAGCGATGGCGAATACGACAGTTTACTTCAGATTGAATTGCCAGTGTGTGACTTTATGGAGAGCTACTATAAAATATTCTACGAACAAATCAAGGATTACTCGAATGCTCCGGAACCAGGCACATGCCCCTTACCGAAGGGGAAGTATCGCTTAAGGGACTATCCGTTAAACGTTCATCTGCTAAAGAAATTTATTGCTCCTGGTCACTATCGTCTTAAGTATAAACTAAAAAAAGATGACTCCCCAAAATTATATTATAGGATGGAAATAAAGTTAGACTAAAGAATCCCCAATTGTTTTTGTCTGTTCCATTAATTTCGGATTTAAAAAAACCTATTCGTTGGATATCATCTGGTTCAAGACCTCGTCGTACACATATTATATTTCCTGGTTTAGTGCCGTGCTGTTGGCAATTAAATATTATACATCACCAATGGCCTGGCCGTTACACGTAGAGTAAAAGGGTATATTGTATTCGTTGAAAAGTATGTGTTGGTCCCAAAGTTGGGATTAAGCATACAGATTCCTGAGGTGCCCACGCAGCGCAAGTTTATTTCACTATCCTGCCATGTCCATAAATCACGAGAACCTAAAATCGGTGATATCTCTGGAGCACTAAGAGCTAGAAGGTCGGTGGTGGATTATCCGCCCAGGAACCACTATTTCGGACACCAAGCCCAAAAAATGGGTTCCGCTTTTTTAGGAACGCTGAGATCTCGATAACTATAATTGATAGAAAATTAGGATTAAGCATGCAGTTTCCAATGATGCCACAACAGCTTAATTTTACTGCATCTGGCCACTCATAATCTATCGCCGACAAAACGAGGAAAACCAAAAAAGACCTCGGAAACTCTAAAAATGACTTAACCATCACTTATTAAACAGCTTTTTCTGACAAAAGGTGGCGCTGCGTTTTTAAATTGAAAAAGGCAGTAACGGGTATCTTATTGTCGCAGCCCTCAACAAAAGCCTCTCCTCTTGTTATATTTTTGGTTAAATCAGTCAACAATTAAATAAAACAAAATAAAACGGATTTTATCCCGTTACTAATTATACCATTTACGGCAAAAACATGAACATTTCCGGTAGGTGTTATAGTTTGATCTGTTAGGGGGTCCCCAGTCCAGATACATATAAGCCCTCGGCATCAGGTAATTTAGCATCAGTCATCAAAGCCGTTCAAATGGGTTTCTCTTCTGCTTCAGCTCAGCATTTTGTGGTGGTGCTGGGAATCATTCTACTGACCACCAATCCTTGGGTCCAAGCAGGAAAGCTAAAGATTAGCCAGTTTGAGAAGAGGATCGAGGACACCGATTATGTGGATAGCCTAGTAACTATCGCCGAGGCCGAGACAAATGTGTTGGATGTTAGCGGACAACTCAAACTTCATCATCACGTCGACAACGATTGGACGGTATGGAATATATATTTACATATTATTTTTATCCCTTACAAATTGAATTTATTTACACATATCTGATGTATTTTATGATATGTATGATAAATAAATATCAATATTTCTCCCTACAGATTGAATTTATTGTCTTACGAGCCGACGAAAGCGATGGCGAATACGACAATATACTTAAGATTGAATTGCCAGTTTGCGACTTTATGGAGAGCTACTATAAAATATTCTACGAAAAAATCAAGGATTACTCGAATGCTCCGGAACCCGGAACCTGCCCCCTGCCGAAGGGGAAGTATCGCTTGAGGGACTATCCGTTGAACGTTCATCTGTTAAAGAAATTTATGGCTCCTGGTCACTATCGTATTAAGTATAAACTTAACAAAGACGACTCCCCAAAATTATATTACAGGATGGAAATGGAGATAGACTAAAGAATCGTGCTCTTTTCTTGTATGTTCCATTTATTGTGGTAGAAATAAACCTATTCGTAGGATATCATCTGCTTTAAGACCTCGTCGTACACGTATTTCCTAGCCTCAGTGCCCCAAATGAAATCCAAATGAGCCCACTTCTCGAAGGGAACCAGATAATCCAGAGCCATGTTGGGCAGTTCATCTCTCAACTTGCGAACATCACTCACGTCACACATCCAGTCATTGGCTCCATAGTACAATAGAACAGGTGCCTTGGCATTCTTTAGCTTGTAATCCGGAGGGAAGTAGCTGCCGTACTCATAGGGGTTTCGCAGAACAGTGTAATCAAATTTACGGAACTTGCCGGAGTTGTATTCCTGGCAGAAGTGAAGGTTTTGGTTTACAGAGGCGCCCGCCGGAGAAGTGGCTTTGATATGTTCCAACAGAGCCTATATAATTTCAATATATAAGAAATGATTCTAGCAATAATATGTAAATACTCACATAGTCCAATTGCTCGGAATCGTAGCCTCCAATTAGGAAAATCTCATTGGCGCACATATCAGCATAGGGTGAAGTTGCCTGGCACATCTCAATGCCCATATCCTGCTTGAATTTGTTGCTCGGCATGAACTCCATGGATCCACAGAGCTCGACGATGGCATTGGGTTGACCCAGTATGGGTGCAAAGGCTCGGGTCATCGGGCTCTTCATGTTGCCCATGTAAGCGGCGGGTCCGAGGAGATGGGCGGACTTGATCTTGTCATTGTACTCGGGTCTTTCGGATACCATTACCAAATAGACCGTGGTTCCCTGGGAGTGACCCACATATTGCACCTTCTGCTGACCAGTCTCCGCCAGAACATAATCAATCATAGCCGGCACATCGTACATTCCAATCTCATTCCAGCTGAAATTCCAGAAGATTTGCCAGTATGTTGGCCAGAACTTGTGAGCCTTGGAATAAGTGTTGCCTCGGGCATTGCCCATCCACACATCATAACCAGCATCAGCCAGCATATAAGCCAAGGATCTCTCCGGACCCATAAGCACCCAATCGGAAGAAGAGCTCAGCATTCCGTGCATGAGGAAGGCCACTGGGCGATTTTCTGAATCACCAGTTTTGGGTGAGTATGGGATTCGGTGCATGGTCAGAATGTAGCTGTCACTAGTGGTCACCACGTGGCGCTCCATCGGATAGCCATCGTCCTCAATCCGTTCACCCTAAAAAATAAGGTTTAAAGTGTATTGAAAAGATATGATATTATTTATACTAACGCAATCGGAAATTGGACGCGTACCGGCCAAAACCAGGCCCAAACCGAACAGTAAAATTGTTAGCTTTAACGTTCCTCCTTTCATAGCTCTTACTATGTTCCTAATGGTGTGGGATTTTAGCTTTTATAGTCTTTTGACCCATTATCTGTCTTTTGATAGTCCCCCGCAATCAGATTTATTGGCTAGAACGTTCGAAGACCCCCAAGAAATCAGTGAAATATATATGGGATATAGATACACCTGGCCTAATCAGCTTCTTGCTATGATAGCAATCGCCCAAATTTACAATCTAAGGAACCCCCAGCAAACCTTTTGATTTCTTTATCGCTTTTCAATTATTTTGTTACCTACTAAGCATACAGGGAGAAAAGGGATATTCCATTTTGATAGCTTATGAGTCTCTTTACTGTGGTTTAAACCTTCTTAGTCAATTTTTCATCCCATTTAATAACTAGAGGAAATAAATTTCAAAAACGTTTAAAATAAACAAGACTTAATATATTTGTAACCATCTAAGTAAATAAGAAATAGCCAGGGTATCTTGAAGTCCTTTCCATTCAATAAGCCAAATCATTCTTACTAATATTTTCAAATACGTAGTTTATAAAAGATAACTTTTAAAGATAGAAAGTGCGATTGCAAATGAAAACAATAAAATGACTGAAATCATACAAGCAACATGTTGCTGCAACAATTATCTATCAATATTGTCTTGTTAGCTAGTTAGCTCCTCTTCATAGCCCTGTCATTAAATCAGGCCGAGTGTAATATCGATTTATAGAAGTCACATATGATTGGTCTGACGGCTGGTCTATAATACACGTATCTTTTTAGACGGCTGCCCATGACGACGAGGCCACAACATTACCAAGTTAAGTCCAAATGGATATGCCCATATCACACTTATGACAGTTTAAGCCATAATTCAGTCTCGAGTGGAGCTAATCTTTAAGGGAGCGAATTTCCAAAATGAAGCACCAACAAGTTACAGTGGACTATTGGACCATGTTCAAGACATCCGGAATGTGCCTGCTTTTGGCCATTTGTGGATTTGTACTTCTCAAGTATGTATATAATTTATAGTTAAGATCAAGAAAACTTATTTTGCAGGTGAAAATATACCAAAATGAAATGATAATGTTAGATAATTCCCTGACAAGCTATATTATTTTACATATTATATTTCTTAGAATGGTGCAGACTGCTTTCTGGTTACCGGGTCACCTGAAGAAAAACCAGCAGCGTCTTGAGGATCTGGCCAAGCTATATGCCAAGGATATGAACGAAGACGAACGGGCCGAGATTGAGAAACTCTTCAATAGCAAGGAGCCATTGACAGAGGAAAACATTAACAAGCTGCTGGACAAGCCAGAATCATCATCTGTGCCCAAGAAGGAGCAATAGTCACAAGAATACATATTTAACATATTTTATATATATATATATAATTATTTATTGATGTATATTGAGTGTATAATCGATAATTTGTTGATACAGGTTTCTAGTTCTTATTTGCATATCGTATATGTAACTCGCAACACAATCAATCATTTAACCAATCCATCAATAATGCAATAATGCAATGCTCAATTATTCGGGGGAGAACATATAATATATGGTAGAGTAATAACTATTTACGACATTCGCTTCGTCTGTGGAGCGTTTATAACCATATTAGCTACTGATATAGACGGACTCAGAGCCCATTCCTGCTTCAATCGGTCGTCCCATGGCGGCCCATCGATTTTGCCAACCAAAGCGACCTCTCTTTAACCTCAACCTCTCAATGTATCTAACTAACAAACTCATATCAAATATAAGCAAGTGTGCCAATTCGTATGCATACAGTGGACATAGTACATACACATAATAGATAGTCTATTTTTTTAATTTTTAAAAGCTCAAAGGGGCGCAAGTCTCTCTCATCAGTTTTGGTTCGGTTACTTTTATTTATATATTTTTTTGATTTTCTTATCGTACCGTAAGTGTAAATGGTTCGTTCTCTGAATCTTGCATCTTGCATTCTGCACCTTGCACTTGCATCTGATCAGAAAATATCACGAGAGTATTTTGCTATATTACACGTAGGCTAATCCGTTAACCAAAGTGAAAAATGCCAATAGATCGGGTGAACTTAGGGCCATATTATGAATTCAAGTTCCGAGAGAGCGCCTCCCCAGAGTAGCGCCGATCAGTGGATATATGCCATTTAGCTGATGCGGATTATGCGTGTTAACATATATATATATATATATAGGGACTTGTTTTAATCTGAGATAGCCGTCCAATATATTATCTCTATTGGCTGGGTGTATGCATTGGAAGCCTGTAAAATGGGTTGGCCAGATTAACCCGCGCCGCCGGCAGCAACTCTGGATGTTCGGTCAGAGTGTCCGACAATGCACTGAGCAGCACTTCTAAAATTAATCAAAGAAATTTATAAATTAATTTATTTTTAAGAATTCAAAGATATATCTCTCTTCCCCATACTTACTTAAAACTTTCTTCTGCAAGTCAATGGGTATAACACCCATGTTGCCCTCGCGTTCCAGAAACTCGGTAAGCTTTTGCAGCTCCATTTGAGCCTCATCGGAACCATGTGATAGCGATTGGGCAAACATTACCTAAAAGTTAAATGCAATAAAAACTAAATTTTGGTAGTTTTAGTTAAGTAAATTACCTTTGCCAGCTTGTAGAGGATCTCCTCTAGGGAGTACTCATTATACAAGTACTCCACAATCTTAGCCCGTCCTTCGTCATAGTCATTTAAATCTAAGGATTTCAATCATTTTATTTTATATGATATATATATTATGTAATATCATCTTCCCACCTTGCTGTGCCTCGCTGTCCAAAACTTTTAGTTTATTCCAGAAGGTGAAGCTATCGAAGCTCTTCGCGGGCAAGACTCCTGAACCTCTTTCGTTTCCTGATACGAAACCGGATTCGTGGACTTCGGGAAATGGCTTTTCTGTGGTTGTACTTGTAGTTGTTGTTGTAGTTGTGGTGGATGTAGTTGGAGGCGTGGTAATAGGGGGGCTGTGGCGCTTTAGCTGATTCTGGCGAACCTCCTCAGGAAAAATTCGATTGGCGTAGGATCGCTGCAAGAACTCGATTCCCAGCCGAATGTCTTGCAGGAACTTCAAAGCGCTCTCTCGGGTGATCTACAAAAGCAAATAAAGCGTATAGTTATTTATTAATTCCAATTATATTATATAATATAAATAATACATAACGAAAATCTAAGCGTAGCTAAGTTCTGAAAGAACTTTATTTAACAAAGCCATTTTACTGTTCCCACCATGAATCTTGTCCAATATCACCTATCATCTCTGATTTGTAAAACATATCAGCGTTTTTGTTTATAGTAATAAAATACTTCCAACGCCTAATCTTAGTAGCCCTTAAACTGAACCACTAAACCGTCACAGGCAAACCGGTTGCCTAAAAATAAAACAATATTGCTCATAGCAATTTCATATGGATCTTGTAGTATTTCTATTACTACCTTTAACTAATCTCAAACGTAAACATAGGAAAAATACGAATATAAACAATAGAATTACTAACACCATTGGCATCATGAAGAATGTAAATGACAAGGCAGAAAGAGAAGAGAAGGAGAGAAAGACTACACAAAAATAGCGTAATATTTCCAGTCATGAATGAAATTCTGAAGTCTGATATTTAAAAGTATTTAATAATAAAAGTATACTATTCTATTAGTAATTACACCAAAATATTGGAATATTTCTAACTCTTATAAAGCTTGAATAAATGTCCGATAAGACAATGCAATGAAAAATAATCTAATCGCTGAATGTTTGCCCCGTGAGAGTTGTTTTGGCCAGCGGAATATAAAAGCTTTGGCTTTAACAGTGCCAAATCAGTTCGCTACCAACAACCAAACAGAGAAGTTCTCTGAGGCAAAACGAAAAAACAGCTTATTAACAAAAATAATAAAAAATAAAATGGTAAAAAATCCGACAAATATGGAAGCTCCACAAGAAAATCGCAAATTTGGAAAGTTCCACTGTGGCCATCATCAGGAGAAGCACCATGAACATCATGGTCACCATGGACATCATGGACACCATGGACATCATGGTCATCATTGGCACTTTGGACATCCTTGGAGTCATCATGGAAATCATCACCACCATCATCGTGGACCACCGTTTGGCTGCCACCACCACCACCAGCACGGACCTCCTCAATATTTTGGACCTCCGATCATGAAGTCCCACGGATTCAGTCAATTTTATTACAAGGCAATGAAAGACTAAATATAATAATGAAACTTGACCAAGAAATCTAGGCAGACGCGAAAAACCTTTTATGTCAACAGACCACAAACAAAAAACGCAAAACTGAAAATCGGCCCCTTGCCTATTAGTCAGCTGATGTGATCTCTTCTTGAGAAAAATTCTTATAACAAAATATAAAAAAATTAAAAAATTTTAAAAACAAATTCAAATAAACTGTTTTACTTCATTTTAATGGAATTATTAAAATTTGGTCTAACTTACCACCTTTCCCTCTACCAGTTCCTCTACAGCTTTCACCACAGCTGTCTCATCTCCAGTCCAGAAAATATATTGTGCCATGTCAAAGGAAGAGTACTGACCATTGGGACTTCGCAGCAAGCTATTGGCTGTCTGAAAAATTTAAAAACAAAAGTCTTTCTAATAACATTGACTAATAAGTCTTAAAAATAATGAGTATATATGAAGAAAGTACTAATTTAAATTAAAGTTATAAACAATTTGTTTTCGATTTTGCCATGTGAGTAAAAAATTTTAGTTTGCCAATTTTCTGAGAACCACAGTTTTTGTTGCAATTCGTTCTAAAAGAATTTGATTTTCATGTTTAAACAATGTCTAAAATTTTAATTTTTCCATGATATAACCAGTCCATTGCCAATAAAAAAAACTTATTTTTAGAATTTCTGAGTGTCCAATCATTGAATTTTCTTTTTATCGACCAATTAATCAGTCCGAATGTTTGGATGAGTTATCAGTAATTAGTTATAAGAACCTTGGCCGTGATCTTAGGCGAACTGGATCTTCGCTCCGTGGTTCGGGCCACCACATCAAAGACGATGTCCCCAATAGTCTCCTTATTCGATTCGTGGTGATTCTGCTTGGTTTTTGGGGGATTCAGGGCAGTCAATTCAGTTTCGGCCACTTCGCCTATGGGATCCTCCGCCTCAACTGGTTCGCCAGCCACGTCTGGAGCTTTTTCCGTATCCGTATTCTCTGATTCTTTATCCACCTGTTCGGCAGGTGCCTGGGAATCAGCTTCTGGCTCGGCTTCAGCTGCTGGCGCTGCCGTCGTAGTCGTTGTAGTTGTGGTTGTGGTCGTGGTCGTTGGTAGTACCTCTGGATTTTGGCCAAAAGCTAGACGAGCCGCCCCGTAAAATGCCTGTTGATTTTTGGGTGGTTTCGTAGATATACACTTGGATTTGGCAAAAAAGGAGTTTTGGAGTTTACCAAGCGGTCTAAAGAGGGATTTTGGCTGGGATTTTGGGTTGATTCACTTACCTTGGCATGGGCCGTCGGTTCCACTACAGTTTTGATCTGTGTCTTCGGCTCTTCCAGCTGTGATCGCTCACCCTCCTCCTTGGATGTCGCCGTAGTGGTGGTGGCCGAAGTGCTTGTGGTTGTAGTGGTCGAAATAAGAGGCGTGGCCACTTCCAACTGTCGTTCCAAATCGGGAAGGATATTTGCATTTGAATTGGAATTAGGTTCCGGAGCAGCAGCCACATCCTCGACGCTTTCCTTGGTGGTTGTAGTGGTACGGGCGGTACTGCCGTCGTGCTGCCTCTTGGCCACCACCGCTCCCGGTTCATTTCGCAGCTGGTCCAGCTCACTCACATCGTCTTCGATTTGGGGGAAAGTCGAATCACTGTTGCTTCGCTTGGAAGGATCTGATTTGGGAAATGGTAAATTATTATTGTGGGTTTTTCTTTTAAGCTATGTGGTGAATTATCCATTATCCTATTAATTATCTATAAATATAAATGACACATTTAATATGCGCATCAGATAAAGTGCAAAACTGAATAATAATCCTTTTGCATCAGAATTTAAAACACTCTTAATAAAAACTAACAAAACAAGAACGGAACTTTTAACTAAATCGCATAATTTATCTTATGACTCTGCAAGGGTATTAAAACTTCGACTAATTCTGTTTTGCTTAAAATCAAGTTCGTTGCAGAATGCAAATTAGCTTTTAGAGAGTCAGAGAGGAAGGGAAACAATAGAGGTTGCGAAAAGAAGAAGGCGGTACTCACTGTAGATGTAGGGCAATAAAGCCGGATATGCCTGGGCCATGCAGATGGTGGCCAAAAAAGAGGATGGCCCAAAGATTCCTCGCAGCCATGTTGTTTAAGCCCGAAGTACTGAAAGTGACACAAGACGTAATTCATTTGATTAGCAGCCAAGATTCGATTACACCAAAAAGCCCACACACCAACACAAGCCTAAAAAGGAAACCGAAAAAGGAAGTGCAAAAACAAGCACAAACAACATGGACACACACAAATACAGAGAGAGGAATAAAGCACGCACATACATACATATGCAAATCACGCTAAAAATAACACAAGAAATCGATAACACAACAACAAAAGCAGGCACAGTAAAGCAGTGGAAAATAATAAAAACGCCAAGAAGCAGGCAACACAAAATAGCACGCCAACTTTGCGAATACGGACCACACACACACATGTCTATCTATATATATAGGATATGGACTCAAGTGTAAATTGAGTAAATTGGCCGCATGAGCGAATTATCGATGCATTCGGGGAACACTTAAGCACGTTTGGGAATCCATCGAATTAAAGGGCCACCGGAAAATAACTCAAGTATCTGCACTTGCCACTTTCACGCACACATTAACACTCACACAAAGCTATGCACTATTGGGAAAGTTCCAAAAAAAACTGTAATAACTTTTCCTATACTATAAAAATCACGACTTCAAAAATTGACAAAACTTGTGAGACTAGGAACTTAGTTTTACCTTTTAGATTTCTAGATTGTAAGAAATAGAAAACGCGTCTGCCGCGCTTGAGGAAAGAAAGTGTTCTAAGTCAAATACCGTTTGAAATCGGTGCCCACATAACCAAAAGCTCTCTCCTGTTTTTGCTCTCTTTGTCTTGCTTAAAAAAGCTGTCAGAGCTCGTCTCTTAAAGAGAGGAATCGGACCTTGTTTACCGTTATTATTTCGAATTTCTTTATTTTGAAAGTAGACTTAAAAAACAACTTAAAAACAAAATTTTCAGTAATCAATTAATGCTCTAGGCATTTCCAATTTGATAAATTAAATATTTTAATATATTCAAGTAGACACAATTTTTTAATAATTTTTATCATTTCAATACTATAGCTACACAGTTCTTTAAAAACGTTCGTTTGATATGATCGAGGTGGAAGAGATTATGATGTATGAGGAACTCGAAGTGAAATATCAATATCATCGACCTACTGCGACTCAAAACTTACGTAATGTAAGTAATGATTTCATTTTTGATATAATTAAGAATAGGGATTTACCACCTTTACCCTCAGTATAATGATCCGGTTTCATATGATAACTAAGCTCAGTATTTATTTTATTTATTGTTTTTTTGATTCTGTCCAAACAATAACAGTGATTTCCGCTTGGAAAATTGGCACATGTTCCGGCGGTCCCCTGATGACCACCATGATTCTGGGAAATCAGTAAGTTGCATTTGTTACTGGAATCATCTCATTTGGGTATTATATGTATCTGCAAGAAGGAAACAACCCAGGGTATTATACAAAAATTTCATTTTTTCGGTTGAATAAACTCGAAACGCCATTGGACAAAAAATTGGACAACAACCATATAATAGACTTTTTAAAAATTAAAGTTTTCTGAGATTACATTTCGTTTTTCCAAGGCATAATCATATAATTTTAAATATTCGAGTCGGTGGTATGGTATTTTTACTTTATGTAAGCTATGTATAACTGTGTTGTAGGGCGTAAGACATTCAGGTTAAGACATTTTCAGGAAAGAATCCAAAAAATGAATCAATATTGTATGCATTCTTTTTTTTTTAGATTTAAAAAATTACAAAGAATGTTCGTTCTCTGGGACAGCAATCGAATATTACTGTCAAAAATCTGAATTAAATTTGAAAATATTAAAAAATAAACACAACACAAAAAAAATTTTTTTTCCTTTTTCTTTTTTTTTTTATTGACACAATAACGATTTAACAAAGCAACTAACTGCATCCAGGAAAAGGTTCGGTGCGATTTTTTCGCAGTACAAACTGAATTTTTCGGTTCATATCCTCGTTATAAATAGCCTTGCACTTTTCAAAGTTGATGCGGCGTCGCACCTAAAAAAAAGATAATAGTTAATAATAAAAATCATCAATAATTATTTAAAATACACACCTGATAAGGCTTTTCGTAGAATCGCGTGCGGCGAAATTGGTCCAAAAGTTCCTCTTTTCCCAACACACGGTTTAACAGGCGACACGCCTCCTCTACATTGTTGTTTTGGACCAGAACGGTGCGGGCCAAAAATTGTACGTGTCTCATTTGGGCGGTCTATTTATTTTACTTTTATTTCATAAAATTGTATGAAATGTTTATTAAATAACCAAAGCAATGTGACCATCCACAAATCAAGACAGCTGATAAACACAGTGAGCTCCGCACAGGGTTGTCAGCACTTGAAAAGTTTTCTATGTTATTAAATCCTACTTATTAAGTATCGTTAATACTCTTTTTCAATAAATATAAATATGTATAAAGACAGGGAGATATAATACGTGAGAAGGCAAAAACATTATTTGAGATATAAATTTTATTGAATAGATCGTTTCCACTGGCTCTTGCGGTGCTGCCAGGTAATTTCACTTTGTATGGATTTTTAAGGCAATTATTGGCTGGTGGTATTTTGGGGATGTTGCAGCCTGGTAACTTCATTATAGTTTCTTCCTAGCGTGGCGGCCATAGTAAGCTGTTGAAAAGTATTCGACGTGAATTAAATTTGTTGTAAAAGTGTAACCTCAAGCAACCCGGCTGCAAAAGGTTCCAATTTAATTTCAGACACGACAAAACACAAATAAAAAGGTAAGTTCCACTTCATAGGGTTAGTTTCCACATTTTGCACATTTCTTTTCCCATTGTGAATATGAGTGTGTTTGTGTGTGTACTTGGTAGACACTTCATTTCGCTTTGATTTTCTTTACCGTTAAGTAATCAGCGGTAATTATTTTTTGCTAGACATTCCTCTTACATTTTTGACCATAGTTTTGCAAAATCGATGGCTCTCTTGGGTTTTTGTCTCTTTGTTCAATCAAATTATTCTGACGCAGCGTCTTGCGCCGCACATGTTGGGACCCATACAGGCGCATCTTTGCATATATCTGTGTTTGCTAGTTTCTACGGTAAAAATATAATTGATTTTTCTTCAAAATCAATGTCAGTTTCTTGTATCTTTTTCTTCCGTTTTTATTTTCGACAGTTGCCCTTTCCCCTTTGTCCCTGTGTTTAGTTCTTTTTCCCGTTTTCCCATCACATTATCACGCTCTTCGCTTTGCGGTCGCCGTTCTTAAAACCAGGGCTGCATTGTGCTGACGAAATTTTCTAGAAACTGTGTGTATGTGTGAGTGCTTGTAAACGATGAAGAGAGGGGGGAAGGAGGGAAAGAGAGCGTCAGCTGCTCGTCGTATTGAAATACGAAAAAGTTCTAGAAATCGGCCAGAAAACGTCGCACTTATTTTCGCAAACACATGGCGGCGGTACGACCTTGAAACCCGGGCTCTGGCTTCCGGCATTGCCTCCCTCGTACTTTCCATCAGTCGGTAGCTCCCCTTCTGCACTGAGAAAAAAGCGTGTTAAAATCAAGAAAGAGCTGTAGAAATCAATAAACAAGTGTTTAAGTGCTTCAGCAACAACAAAAATATATGTGTGTATGTGTATTTTCTAGAATCATGAAACAAAATTACAAAAATCTTTATGTATATATGCACAAAATCACGCTATCAAAAGTGATCTATAAAAGCGATGAATAATATAATTATATATCAGTTCATATTATAAGTAAATGCGTGTATGCGAAAAATATAACTTCATTGTTTATCATTTTAGTTAGTTACACATTTTCAACAACCCTCTTAACTATATAGTGGAAAGTCTAAGGACGTGTTTGGTAATAATTTGGATAGTAAACTTACTGTCATAGAAACGATCTAACAAAATCCGAATATAAAAATTGAATATATTTTCGACTGCCAGGTAGTAATACTCCCACGCCTTCCTTTCTTTTCAGTAAACAGCCTACAATATGGTCAAGGAGACTGGATACTATGATCTGCTGGGTGTCAAGCCTAATGCCACGCCCGACGAGCTGAAGAAGGCGTACCGAAAGCTGGCTCTAAAGTACCATCCCGACAAGAATCCCAACGAGGGCGAGAAATTCAAGGCCATCTCGCAAGCATATGAGGTGCTGTCCGATGCCGATAAGCGTCAGGTGTACGACGATGGCGGCGAGGCGGCCATCAAGAAGGGTGGTGCCGATTCCGGTGACTTCCGCAATCCTATGGACTTCTTCGAGAAGTTCTTTGGCGCCGGATTCGGTGGTGGCGGCGGTGGACGTCGGCGCGAGAGGCGTGGAAAGGATGTGGTGCACCAGATGTCCGTACAGCTAGAAGAGCTGTATAACGGTGCAACACGGAAATTGCAGCTCCAGAAGAATGTAATCTGCGACAAGTGCGAGGGCCGCGGCGGCAAAAAGGGCAGCATCGAGAAGTGTATGCAGTGCCGGGGCAACGGTGTGGAGACCAGGGTGCAGCAGATCGCCCCTGGTATCATGCAGCACATTGAGCAGGTGTGCCGCAAGTGCTCGGGAACTGGTGAAACCATTCAGGAGAAAGATCGGTGCAAGAACTGCAGTGGCCGGAAAACTGTGCGGGAACGCAAGGTACTCGAAGTGCACATCGAGAAGGGAATGCGGGACGGACAGAAGATCGTGTTCACGGGTGAGGGCGATCATGAGCCGGAATCTCAGCCCGGTGATATTATTATTCTGCTGGACGAGAAGGAGCATGCGACATTTGCGCACGCAGGACAGGATCTGATGATGAAGATGCCGCTCCAGCTGGTCGAGGCGCTTTGTGGATTCCAGCGAATCGTCAAAACCCTGGATGATCGTGATCTGATTGTGTCTACGCAGCCTGGCGAGGTTATCAGGCATGAGATGACCAAGTGTATTGCTGAGGAGGGCATGCCCATCTTCAAGAACCCGATGGAGAAGGGCACACTGATCATCCAGTTCGAGGTGATCTTCCCGGAGGTGATGAATCCATCTGTGGTGCCCACGCTCAAGCAGTGCCTTCCACCGGCGCCGGAGGTTGACATTCCAATCGATGCAGAGCAAACGGTTTTGGTGAGTATTTCTTTTAGTATTTTTGGGTATTATAGAGCTCTTTCAAGAATAGTTGTTTAATATTAATTCTATTAAAATTATAGAAATTATGATGATTATCATCTAGTTAATTATAGTAGAGTGGAAAACTAAAAACCAGAGAATGATCTCACAATTTGACATTTCTTAAACCTATTTATTAAACAGATTAGCATCAATAATCCCTTAAAAAAAGTTTTTATAGTAACTTATGAAGGCATAATATAGTTCTCATGTTACCAAATAAGGCATTTAATGATTTTGCTAACCATCCGATTCATTTTCATTTGCAGGAGGATTTCGATCCTAAGCAACGCCGCCAGCAACACCAGCGCATGGCCTACGATGAGGACGATGGTGGCTATCAGGATGGCCCTCGTGTCCAGCAGTGCACATCGAGTTAAGGCGCTTAACTGCGTGTTGAACCTCCGGGCACACACACACACCCCCTAATAATACCCCCAATCAACAAGCAGTAATAATATGTAAACCAGCTCCCGGAACACTGTAACTGCGCTTGCAATGGCCGAAGAACTCCAAAAAAAAAAAAAAGCACCTAAACACACCATCCAACACACACTAGGATACCCAACCAATCGAGATCTAAAGTTATTTCATGCAAGCTACGATATTTAGGTATAAATCAAAGGAACTTATCAGATATATGCACTATGTCTATAACGCGTGGTTGTTTGTAATGGGACATTTTTTTCTTTTCGTTTATGTTGCGTTGGATTGTCATAGAATCGAAAACGGAAACTGAAACTAAAATAAACTGAAATTGAAAATCAGCCGCCACTAGAAAGAACCGTATCTAAAGTCCGCGCCAGCGAACGCGTCTAGGAACAAGTTTAAGTTATTTAATTCCAGCATAAATAAAAGCGTTAGTTTAAACGGATATAACAAATAAATAATTAATACACAATTTCAACCCAAACGCTGTACTTTGTTCCTCACATTCCAGTTCCAGTTTCATAATCACTGCACCGTCATCTTGAGTGTGAATCATTCGCCTAACGTTAAACGAAAGATATCTAGCTTATAGCAGCCGTACAAGTACCTGGCGTGATTAGTTTTACTTTTGGGTAGTTCTGGGTAAATTATTAAAAGCGTTATCTGGGATTAGTGGTAGATAAAAATTTAATGGGCAATGAAGTTTGGGGTACCGGTTACTTGGACATCTATCCATTACTTCATACCCATTGTTCCTATCTTTTAGTTTTGAGAAATTCTTAGAACTTTATTCTCCTTATATATCGAGGGAAGTTGGCCAAAAAATCTAAAATCGGAAATTTAAAATGTCTTGTAAATTTATTTACAAAATTTTAAGGTGAAGTCTACGAAATAATATTGTAGAAGCCAATAACTAATGAGCGAAATTCCGAAGTGCAGCCACAACTCCAGTTCCGTAGATTAGCTTCTCCTCCACGCGCTGCCAAGCTTCCTGTTGTACCTGGGAAACACTGCGCAGCTGCTTAACCAGCTCTGGAGACTCCGTCAATCCAAGTCCATGCGATCGCAGGTAGACACTAAGATAGGATTGAGCCAGCTCAAAGTTTAAATTGGTGCCAAACATAAACTGCACCAGTTTTAGGAACTGCAACATGGCGAGTAGGGTTCCTCCAGCCTCTGGGTGCAGCGATTTGATCTCAAAGTCGACCATCGAGGGACCTAATTGTGTTAAGTGCGCCACAGCAGGAGCGAAATCCTGGCTATCAGAAGTATCCTCAAGCAACTGACCAAAGGCAGTTAGATTGTTGAGCGTGGAAGCCTTTCGGATGCGGGAGTTGTCCTCTTCCTTTTGACCATTCTGCACATCGAAGCGCAATTCCAGACCCGAGACGGTGGGCAAGAAAAATGGAGCCTGCTTAGGAGCCTTTGGTGGCGCCTTGGGTTTATTGCGTTGCTTGATCAGCTCCAAATCCAAAAGATTCTGCCAGCGCGATGCCGCTAATCCAGATAGCGTTATTAACTCCTCAGACAGCTGAGTTGGAGTCTCGTACTTGGCATCGACTAGCTCTCCGAGTTTTGACTCTTCGTCTTCATCAATTTCTAGTTCCTGCATGCCATCCTCCAGTTCGATAGCTTCGCACACATTGGTTGGTAATCCTACATAAGGAGCAGCCTCCAATGGATCGATAGAGCGCAAGGAAATCTGGTTAAAGAGCGTTTTGTTGGCCCATAGGTAAATGCCCAAAAGACCAACATGTGCGGTAGCTAGAAAATCACCGTTGGGCGACATGCTCAACGATACGCAAGGCGCCTCCACTTTGAAGTGATCCACCATGTAGGAGGAGGGTATGTCCCACACCTTTATCGTGGAATCCATAGAGGCGGTGATCAACCAGCGACTATCTGGACTAAAGGTGAGGTCGTTTAGTTTTGCTGTGTGACCGACAAACTTGCGGACAATCACCCTCGTGTGCATGTCCACCACAAACACCTTAAAAGTTTCGAGACCAACGGCCAGCATGGAGCTTTCGCGATGCTGTCGGATTAGAGCAATTCCATCCGCCAGGCGTAGAACAGCCAGAGGTTTGTCAACTGGAAGAAGAAATAAATTTGTAGAAAAATAAAATACAGCTTATAGACTGGATAGTGTTCCTTACCCTTTCCTTTGAACGGCCAGAATTTGAGCAGACCCTCCGAACAGCCAGAGATGACAGTCTGGTTGAGGTTGTCGCTGGCTAAGCCGCGCACTGCCATCTTGTGTCCCGGGGAACCATAGCTAGCTCTATGAAAGCCAGACTGGATATTAAAGCGTTCGATATCGCCACTGCTGTAGCCGATGATCACGAAGTTGCCACAGTGCGTCAGCACGATGCAAGTAGTCTCGCACTGGAAGTTAGTGCGGTTGCTGTTTTGAAACTGCTTTGGCACCAGACGGTGCTCGCCCATACGATTATTACCAAACGTCCAAGTAGTCGTCTGAATAACTCCAGCATGAATGGCAGCAATGTTATCCCACTCCTTCTCGCGGGTAGTGTCTGAGGTGAACTCCAGGATGGGCGGCATGCTAAACTTGTCGTACTGAAAGCGATCTGCAAGGAGCAATTTATTTATAGAAATTTCTTAAGGTCCGCACCAAATAATCTAATGACTTACTCTTCTTTTTAGTGGATATTTGATTGTAGGTTGCTCTGCCCATACTTTTGTTCAGTGACTCCGAGATGGTGGAGAATACCCTCATTGTACTGTCTTCGCCGGAGGATAGAATGGAAACTCCCGAATTGCCATGGTAGCGTATACAGAGAGGTGGCTTTGTGTGCCCCTCTCTGATCCGCAGTTGACGTGCCCCACCATCTGGCATATCGAACACAAACATCTTCATAGAGTTATCCGGCGAGGTGGTGAAAACCACTGGCTCGCTTGGCGGGCAAATGGCAGTGGTCACCGACTCTACATGAGCCTGTAGCTGACCTGCCAACTTGCGCTCCTCCAGATTCCAAAAGGCCATATAACCATTACTGCAGGCGGACACCAGGATCGGAGGACCGTCGGTGCGGAAGGAGAGGCTGGTAACTAGACCCCAATCCTGCTGGAAAGTCATCAGCACCTCATCAAACTTAAGGTTGAGCAGAATGATGGCGCCATCTCCATGGCCCACGGCTACGACATCCAAGGCAGGAGACGGTTCAACGCATGTGATCCTGCTATCATGGTGACTTAAAGTGCACACCACACTGTTCTTCTTAATGTTCAATATTTTTAGTTGACCCTGTTGGGAGCCCAGTACTATTTTGTTGATGTACGTTGGCGGATGTGCCACTGCGGTGATCTGGAATTCTTCGGGACGGAAAGGCACTTCGAGATAGACATCTTCGGTGGGAATATTCCATACTTTTAGTACGTTTGCCCGATCAATGGCTATCAAATTTGAACCAAAAGGCAGCAATAAGTGAACATCCTTCTGATGGCCACGGTAAACGTGCCGGATGTGTTTGCCCGCTCTCCAGGCGTAGATGCACTTGTTGCTCGCCGTGTAGGTGTGCAGGCGATCAGTGGCCAACGCCGTAATCTCGTCCGGATGCAACCCGCTTACATGCAGCAGTCTGAAGTGATTGGCGGTATACACCTGGAAGGATCTGCCAATGCAGGTGATAAGCAAAGTGTCCCGTCGACGCTGCACATAGCGAGTGACCGCCGGAACCTGGTTGCTCACGTAGCCCAGAGCTCGATTCCGTCGGAAGATGCAGCTGCTTTCTTTAAATACGGATTTCTGCTCATGGGGCTCCGGCTTTTCCTCCGTTCGCAGGTGAGTCATTCTATCTTATTTTCTGTCACTTTTTCTTAACTTTATATGCTAAAACCACGATTTCTAAAACATGCCGAAAATGTTTACGAACGAAACACGTGTGGAGGAGTGTGCCCGCAGACAAAATATACCATAATAAATTAAAGATACTAAAACAGAAATTTAACCGTTTTCATTAGGGGTATTCTTATAATTAACGGATTTATGTTGATTTTTATTTAAAATATTCACTATAAGAGAAATACTGATATTTTGGGCGAGACATTAAAATTGTGAATTTTTAGTAAAATTTGTAATACTTTCCCCCAGTGTTATGCTTATAACTTTGTCAAATTAAGAGCCACAAACAAAAGGAATCCGTTTTTTTGCAGCTAACGACCCCAGAAAACTTTCTATCTGGGTATGAAGTTGACTTTCGGAAATTACAATTTTTCTGAAATTTCACTTTTTTGTAAGGGGTACCATCATCATTTTTTCGAAAAATTGAAACATTAATTTTTTCTTCAGATTTGAATGCCACTTAAATATTTTGAAAATAGATTCAAATACAAGCTCAACGACGTATTACATTCCAAATTCCGACCATTTTTGGCTTTGTTATAGACAAAATACTGATATTTCGAGCCTCAAATCGGGAAAAACCGGTTTTCGCATCTTTTGAACATCATAAAAATTTACGAAAAATCTCAAAAAAAATTTATTTTTCAGTGTGGTACACTGTTCGACGGGGAATTTAAATACGAACTCAACGAGGTATAACTTTCCATCTTACGATCATTTTTGGCTCTTTAATGAGGGAAATACTGATATTTTGAACTGAAAATCAAAATTGTGACTTTTGAGTAAAATTTGAGATATTTTTCCCTAGTCTTATGCTTATAACTTTGTCAAAGGAAGACGCAGAACCAAAAGAAAGACAGTTTTGTGCAGCTAACGACCCAAACAAACTTCCTGTATCATTATGGTGATGATTTTCAAAAGTTTAGTTTTTCTCAAATTTTACATTTTTTTTAAGGGGTACCATCATTATTTTTATGAAAAATTGAAAAAATATTTTTTTCTTCAGATTTGAATGGCACTTCAATATTTTGAAAATAGATTGAAAAAAAAGCTCAACGAGATATAACATTCCATTTTCCGACCATTATTGGCTTTGTTATAGACAAAATACTGAAAATTCCAGCCTCAAATCGGGCCAGACCGGTTTTCGCATTTTTTGAACATCATAAACATTTACGAAAAATCTCAAAAAATGTACTTTTTGAGCCTGGACCCAAGGTATGACATTCTATATTCTGACCGTTTTTGACTTTTTGCTCAACATCATCAAAGCCACAGCCTCCCTCTCCAAATATAATAAAAACACTACCCCCCAATCGTTTTCCCACAACTCTTCTAGTCCCTCAAATCATCCTATCCTAATCACAACTTCATCTACACAGATGGCTCCAAAGCCAATGATATAATAACCTACAGCATTACAACCGAGCGCGAAACCATAAAAACAGGCCTCCTACCTATCTTCTCCTTGGTACTATCGAGCGAGATTATAGCCATCCAGGAAGCCATAGTCATCTGCGCCAAGCTGCCAGGCAAGCATGCCATCTGTACAGACTCCCTTTCCTCAGTTACCGCGATCCTTAACCACGATAACCATTCTCACTATCCAACCCTAGCTCGTAATATGATCACCCAACACTTCCAAAAAATCAAACTTATCTGGATCCCCAGTCACATGGGCATTGCAGGTAACGAAAAAGCTGACTTTGCAGCAAAACATGCTGCCAAATTCCCCTTAACCTACACCCCTAACCTAAGCCCCAGAGATGCATCCCATTTCTTAAAATCTCTCCTACATGCAAAACAAACACAACTGACTACCTCCGTTTGGTATCAAGAAATACTCAAGTTATCAACGTCTACCCAGCCCCTCAAAAACTGCCTCCTAAACAGAAGAGATCAAATCATCATCACCCGTCTCAGACTAGGACACTGATTCTTAACAAACGCCCACTACCTCGATAGAACAAGGAACAACGTGTGCCCATTATGCAACATCTCCCAGATTGACATCCACCACATTATTTGCTCCTGCCCCTCCCTTTCCACGCAAAGATCCTTATTCCTCAATAATCCTGATCCAATCAGCACCATAGCTAACCCCACAGATACAAACTCTTTAAACATTCTCAAATTCCTAAACAACTCCCATATCACCTCCCAAATCTAACTAAATCAAAGTTTTTGTAAATAAAATGTAAATAGTAATCCATAGCTTGTATATACTCATAAGCCAAACATTCACAAGCCATATTCTAACTTAAGCCGAGCTGAAGGCCCTAGCTGCTACTGCTTCTAGCCATTTGTTAGCTCTTAGTTTTAACTAATTGTTAGCCTTAGATAAATAAATAAATAAAAAAAGAGAACGATGAAATATAAAAATAAGTTATTCTTCTTTAAAGTCTACAAAAGCAATGCAAATACTTAAAATGCATTAATTTATTTTAAAATTTCGTTTTTGAGTTGTTATGTTTTTACAATTCATTTGGAGATAACATAGAAAATGCAATAGAAATATAATGATTCTATTCAATTAAAATGTTGTTTACCATTTTTTTCTAAGAAGCAACAACAGGATTTCCCTACACAATCGCCGTGTGGGGCACCTCGATCCTTGCATTTATTTATGCATATCTGGATTGAATAATCTGAGTTTTTATCGCATCTCTGGTATAATTTGTTTCCTCCGGCATTCTCACATGGACCGGCTGATACCAACATTAATGAGTGGCTGACAAGCACACAAACCAAAATAAACACAAGAACCTAAAAAAACAAAATTATGAGGTTATACACTAACGAATAGATGTATTTACCTTCATTGTTATGGTTGCTCTTTGATTGCAAATTCTCTTTGAAATTAGAAGCTATAATTTAGACTTCAGAAGTACTCTTCGAACTTGTTCGGTCACCAAGCGATCCGCTAAGACTGTGTTGAACATGATTTTAATGTTGCTTTATATAGCCAACTTAAGATTTAACAAAACGTAGTTGTATGCACCTAAATAAATACATTTTTCGGATTCTTTATTTTCTTTGCGTTGATAGCTAACGCTTATCACTTTATTTGCATTGGTCCCTCATGCTGAACATATGTGGGTTGATCCCTAATGCTAAACATATTTACGATAATCAATATTTGCGTTGATTCCTAATCCGAAACATATGTACTACTGTAACCCAAATCAGGTAAATGTAAGTAGGTGAATCGAAAAATCTCTTTAAGAATCCAAGGGATAAATCATAATTTTCTAAAGATAAATACCATTGTAATGTATTTACCATTTGATGGGTTATTTTAGAACTTAAATCAACCACTTTGGTCGTGAAGCCAAATATGTCTTTGCCAGATTAGATTATAAAATATAAAACAATAGCTAATATTGGATTTTTTTTTGCTTTTACAGCACATTATCTTATTTATTTAACCAAGCATCTCTTTATAAATAAAAATGTGAACAATTTGTTTGTGCTATGCTGCCATAATATACATACATACATAATATACACCTATAACGTTTAACATACACAGTTTACAAAGTTTTTCAATATTTTCTTCGAGTTTTATATATATATATTTTTTTTTTTTTTTTAAAGTAAAATTACAACTACATATAGTCTTTAGCTTTCCTCGTAAATATACATAAATAAAATATATGCATTTTATATATAAAGAAAACATTGAAACACGCTGTCTTTTTGCCGTTTTCTTCGATTTATTCTTTGTCGACTTTCCCAATATTTTTTTGACACTGAAATCCTTACCAGCCCCTAAAAATTTCAGTTGTTTTTTTTTGGTTTAATGTTGGATGTTTATGCAATTAGCATGGAAATTGACTGCTTGGTAGGTGTAGACATTTATCAAACATTTTATACAAGTCGCGAAAGTAATTAACATTCATAAGTAATTCATGTGTTTTTGCTGTTGTTGTTGCTGATGTTGTTGTTGTTCTTGTTTTTGCTCTCGTTTTGCTGAGGTTTTGTTCATGTTCTGGTTTTCACTGTAGATTGTGGAAATTGCGACTTTTCATACATTTTCCAGGCTTAGTTTAAAGCATTTAACTCGCCGGAATTGGCCAAAGGATAATCGAGTTCACCCAGGCGGGCAGACGGTCGCCGAGGTCGGTTAAACTAGAAGTTAAAAAAGGAGTACATTTAAGTACAAGTTTGGCATCAGCAATATAATTTTCTTTTTAAAATCGATGGTTTATTTCTGCCAAATTATAATGACTGTTTACCTGCTTAAATTCATCTTTAAATATTGTTAAAATTTAAAATACAAAAAAAGGTAAGGCACTTACCCATGATCTCATGATTTTGTAGAGCACCTGACGGGCGGGATAGTCATTAAAGTCGCCCTCTGGGAGCCACCGCAACCTGTTCATTCGGCGTCATCATGCCATTTGGACGCAGGTAGTCCTGTTCTTGCCCACCGGAGGCTGTCTCGCCCACCCCCGTTCCGGACCCAGATCCGGTGCTCAGGGAGCGTTTGCCATGACCACCATAGCACACATGACCGTAGGCCTGGCATCCCTCTGAAAAATAAGATTAAAAACTTGAATTGGTCAAACAGTGTTGTCTTAAACTATGAGCTTTAAGGAAATTTACATGGAAAAAAAACTTAATTTTAGATAGTTTACAATTTAGTTTGTTTATGAGTACTAAAATATATACAATAATAATATTTGAATTTTATTTTAAATTATTAAAATTAAAAGGAATTATTTCAAGGAACTTAATTTTATACAAAATATTAATGTAACAAATAATAATTCTAATTTAATTAACTTTTTACTTTAAGCATTTCTATAATTAAGGGCTATTCGAAGGCAGTAAAAACTCATTTTAAATTGCAACCCAGCCACAAAATGGCTAAAAAGGCAGGCAAGAAATGGGAAATTTAATCGATTTGAGGACCCCCATTGCTACTATAACTTTGTGCCACATGCGTGTGCATTTCCCAACGCACCACAATATTTTCTCGATTACTGGGAGGATAGATTGCTCCTTTGGATTTTATTACTGCCAAAATCTTTAATCGCTAGCCAAAGCTCAAGGGAGACATCCGGCGATAACCATTTGACCCCATGACGGTTCAGTTTCGCTTCGTTTTGTTTTGTTTGCTTGTCTGGCTGTGTGTGAACAAACTTTTGACTTTGTTCCCGCTTTTGAATTTCCGCCCACACAGGCAAACATAAATTTTCCTGTTGCACACTTGGGAGTTGTCCTTGACATACGCTGGATTTAAGTAGAGGATGGGGCACTGGCAGGACCTTACCTCCTAAGCTGATGAGTTTCTGTCATCTCAAGGACTTTGCTTATTTTATGGAAACCTATCGAATTTGATTGCTGCATAATATTGGCAAAAGTTATTTTATATGTTTACCATTAACAGTTCAAATACTTTTGGTAATTAATATTATTTTTTATAATTATTTTAAAGTCCCCATCTTTGCAACCAATTAATTAGATATATCCGAAATGGGCTACAAATACTAAGCTATAAAGCAGTCATAAGTTATAAGGTATCTCTGATTGTGTTTACCCTTTAATATAGTCCAAGTAATCGCTTGGGGAGCTCTAAATAAGTTAGCTTGGCAACATCTTAAATGCCCTTTCAAAAGGCAATCAAATCACAAACTTTTGGTAATGGACCGAATGGGAAAACAGATGGGTTCTAAGATGGAAACGAGATGACTACAAGTCAGCACTTCTTGACATTCACTATTAATAATTTCAAGGAAAATGTTGTCGCACAGGGTTTGTGTATCTGAGATAGTTGCAACTTGCAAGGGAAATGGAAATGGCTACCCATTTAGCCCATTTTGCCATTTTCACAGCACCCTTGTTGCTTCCATTTAACGTTCCCACAGCTGGAAAAACAAAGACGCCCGTTTGTTTGCGTTGTATTAAACTGCAACAATTGATGCTGCCTCGTTGGTGTGGATCGAGTGTCCGGACTCCGGATATCATGCCACCCATTCGACACCCATTTATGACTTTGTTTTTCGCTTGATAATTTAATGAATATTTCATGGCAAGTTTACCTGAATATTTTCAATGGAAGAACTTTAAAGGTAGGCACATCAGGTTCACAAAAGGTTTCTTACAAAAAATGTAGCTATCCAAAACATTATATTAATTTTGAAAGACATATACATTGACCAAAAACAAATGATTAAAAATGATTATTCAAAAATTGTACTCACTTTTCGCTTGGCTCTGTTGCGCGGCCAGGACCACAGTGCAGATGACGACCAGCAGCAAAGAAATTGAGGATTTCATGTTACCTGTAAGGAAGAAGCGAAGGTAAAAGGATAAGCACCTGTTGAAATCTGGCATTCTGGCGATGACAATGTGGCTTTTCGGCCCGGGGGGCGATACACTAATTAGGAAATCCGAGCACAACGCGACGAGCGAGTTGAAATCGAATCTCAGCCCTAGAGTTCACATGCAGTTAAGAAGCTAATCCTGGGCGGCAGAAACTTTTGAACTTTGATTTATGTAACGCCCACACAGAAACACAAAGACAATTAGCCTGGGCGTATGTGTGTATGTATGTGACTTGAGGGCAGAAAAGGTGGAAGTTCCACAAAAACATTTGTTTATTACGTGCTTTGAATTCCTTAGGTGTCCATCATCTGGCGAATGTCTTACCCAAGAATATTCATAGATAAAAGATAAGTCATTTAATTGGCTAGAACCTACATGAGTTTTCTACTAAATATGAGTTTGTGTGTGGGCCTAGGACTAAAATTAAACCGATTAAAATATTGCCAACAGCTGATGCTCCTTTTATCCCATCAATCATATGACATGTGTTCTTAATTAAGTATGTTTTTAGGTATCGAAAATGAATATTACAAGATGTTAAGACCAATTAGAAAAGTGTTTTACTTGTATATTGAACCAAACTAGTGATTCTAATTGTAAAAGCTCACAAAATTCTGATGAGTACAATTTAAGATCTTTAAAGATATAACACCTGATGCTGCTAATTCCCATCAGTCTTACGGCCTGTTGGCGTAATTGATATTTGTTATTTAGAACCGAACCTGGTCGCGTGTCGCTTTCAAGTGCAGTTTGAATAACTCACCTCAATCTTAAACTGATTGGCTGAACTGAGGTTTGTGCAATTTATACGGCAGTTTTCTTTGTTTTTTTTTTTCGCTAGTTACAGCTACTATCAGTATTAATTTAAAATGATTTTTTATTTTTTCGTTAGATGGCTATATATAATCACAGATATGGTTGTGGCGGATGTTTTTGCCAATATTCCAATTTGATATGGCAATTCCACCGGCCGAATCCCTGAGCGCGATTTCACATTTTCAAGCGCCCGTCAGCGACTGAGACCGATCTATAAAGTGGCCGGACCTATATGCCATATTCGAAATCTCGCCTAGCTGATAAACGCCGATCTTTTCCGTAATCTCCGCTCAATCCGTGTCACGCGTTGTCACTCCCACACTTTCCCATTTGGCCCCTGGAATCTCTGGACTATTTTCAGTCACTGGTCGGGGCTAAATTTATGACCAATCGATAAGTGAAAATTAATATGTAGAGCGCTACTGGTAGGACAGTAAATAAAAAATCAACACGAAATATATATATTTATAGGCACCCACGCAGTGCGAAAACAATAACATCATTCTCATTACATGAAAAAAACACAATATATACGAGTATTTAATAATAATAATTGTTTACCAAGATGGCAGGGCCATCATGCCAACACTCGACCCTAGGGCTTATCAATTTTCCCAGCTATTTAGTTGTGATAATAATGCCTTAATGAGCTGTTGCTGCCACAACTCTGTCACTAATACCCGTTCCGAGGGCCGTAAATCCCGAGTTTCGAAAACTTTCCGCAGGTGCTAGTGCTCCCTCTTATATTTATTACACTTTTAAAAAGTATTTTAATAAAATAATTCTTAAAATTTGAGTATATTCATATGATTATATTCTTTAAGCTAAAAGATTCTAAATTCACAGATATTTATATTTCATAAATTGATTGCATTTTCAAAACCAAGTGGTTCGTGTATGTTTTATGTTAAATTTGCCCTATAATTTTTTTACCTATCAATATATTTTCAAAATATTTTCTATAAAATTTAAATATTTTTCTATGTGATCTGGCAAAGTTCATGATTAGCCGGCCGATCGGTTTCCGTGTGAAATTTTCTAATCACATGGCTGATAATTCGCGCAAAGACAGAACAAACAGCTGCGAACCAGGTCATCCAATGGAAGCGTGCCTTTGGCACAAATCATTTTAAATCGGATCAGATCAGATTGTTCAGATTCAGAACAATTGTCAATAGATTAACAACACCAAGTCAAATGGAAAGGGAAAGAACCAGGAAAATTAAATTAAAAGGGTCAACAAGTCAGGTCAAGAGTTTGTGCGGTTTTTCGCGATTTTGCAAAGTCTGAAGCCTAGTTGAAAGTTCAAAACAGAAGTCTTGAGGAAGGTTAAGTTTGGAGTAGATTGACAGTCTGATGAAGTTTGCAAGAAAAACAGATAAAAAAGTAAATAAGTAAAGTAATACAAATAGTTTTAAAATCAATTACACTTAGTGTGTTTTAATTTATAATATTTCTCAATTGTTTTAAAATAGTCTTGACTTTTAAAAAGTTTTGTATGTTTTCCGTAACTGAGTAAAGTTTTAAATTTACTGTTCTGAATGAATTTATTCGTTGAGGAGAGAAAATTCCTAAAATTGAGTTAAAGTTTTTGCTAAGTTCTGTTTTCCAACAGCAACAAGTTGTCGGAAAATTCCCAGCTATCTGTTATTCCTGCGCTTAGGATAATGCATGATTTATACAGCTGCTAGCACGAATGTCCTGAATTTTAATATCTTTAACTTTGTTTGGGGAAGTGGTTCGTTCTTACAGCGATTTGAAGTCTCAGTTTTGGCAGCAAGCACAAATAGCCAGAAGCGTTTTAGTGGGAGTTATTAAAAATTAATCAAAGCGGATAAGAAAGTAAGAAAACCCCTGCCACTGCCACCGAAATCTGCATAATTATGGCTTCCAAACCTAATTTTATTCAATTATATTAGACAAATAAACAAAAAGCGAACAAAGTCGAAGCCAACCCGTAGGGCATTCGGAAATTAATTGACCAAGGCAAGAGGCCAACAATGAATGTAAACAAATGTAAATGAACGTTATCTGGAGAGTACTTATGCTGATTAAGATGGACTTTTCAAATTGTTTAACATTTAACATTAAGTTAAAACTCCCAGCTTTAAGCTCACACAAACCTTGATTTCTGGTATTAAGGAAAACTCTAACTAACTTTTAGAAACCTCAAGAATTTTAGAGAGTTTCTCTTCAACCTATTTAACTTATATCACTTTCAGAGTTTACTTTACTTACTCCTTTTACCAATTATAATTAACTTGTATCACCTTCTGTCCAACTTACTTGCACTTGACTGGTGAACTGCTGTCCAAAACAAATGTCCTTGCCTTTAGTCCTGGTCGTCGTCCTCGTCCTTGCCGGATGGTTTTGCTGTTATGCCGCTGATGCTGCTGTTCGACTGCAAGCCGGAGTTCTTTTGGTGCCGCCAAAGGGAAATCAGCCAGCTTTATAGCTGTACCACTACCTCCTGGCTGTGGGTGCTTGTGTGGGTCGGTGTGCGAGTGTGTGCGTGGGCTGGTAGCCAGCCGGCCAATCAGAAGCGCACAAAAAGCCGAGCGGTAAACGAAGCACTTTCGCCCAGAGAAGTATGCAGCGATATTTTTGGTCGCTGGCAAATTCACTTTTTACGTGGGTGCAAAAGGCAAATAATAAAGAGAGGGGTGAGGAAACAAGGACGCTTCAGGGAACGTCAAATTAGCAGCGGGCTCAGATTTATTTGCTCGACATCGCCGAAGCCAGCGGATATGAATGAATGGCCATCATTGGCAGTCACGAGTGCCTGCTGACGTAGTTGCCAAAAATTGGTATTTGGACCCAGTGCACTCCGACGCCCCGACGCGAACACCCCTTTCACCCGCTACCACTAAGTTGGCCAAAATCCGCTCAGAACTTAATTATGCCTAAATCCAATTGACCAGGTCCCAAAGCGAAGGACTTACCAATTCCCTTTGAGTTGGTCATGCATTTTAATTTTATTTATGTTTGTTATCCCCTAGATAAGAATCAATGCTTAGGAAAATTTAAGTTACAGAGAGCAAGCTATCGAAGAAGATGTTAGAAAAGAAAAAGCAGAGGAGATACTAAAAATCTTAGACGTTTTAAATTTTATATTTAGGTTCAAACGGTTTGCTAAAAAAATTCACTTTAAAAAATGTGTCAGTGATATTTTAAGTATAAGTTTAAAATTGTTGAAAGCTTAAAATCATTACAAATATTGTTATACTCTTTACATTTATTTTTTTCTATAAAAATTACTTAACACATTTCTAATTTCTAGGAAGTTGCCATCGACTATTTGATTTGAATTTAAAACATTTTATATTTTTCTTCTTACTCAGCATTTAATATTGAACAGATGTATTAATTAAAACAAAATCTGTAACAAATTAAATTTAATATTTATAATTATAATAATACTAAAGCTAATCCTAAGCCAATATAGATTTCTAGTAGGAATTATTTTGAAATATTTTCCTATTTCAGCATTTTGGTTTGAAGTTTTCCCCTGGGTCATCAAATCTGGCTTGCACATCAACAGGGCAAGCAAATTGATTCGCCAATGACTTGTTTACAACAATTGCCGCCTCCACCTCCGATTCGATGTCCATCTGGTGTAATCTGTCCGGTTGAATCCGATTTAGCTACTGTTTTTTAGCCTGTTGCTACAGTGAATATCGCCTATCTCGCCCATCTCCCCCGCAGCTTATCGCTTGGCACCAAAAACAAATTAGCCGATAAGCAGCTGACGGTGCTCCAATGCCCAGCGATCAAAATATTTGACAACAAACACTGAAGCAGAGGTCTCACAATTGCACCACATTGTTCAATGATGATCATTTGTCATCTTGGAGTATGCCAAATTTTTATCAGCAAGCTATATAATTTGGCCGACTTTGAAATCTCACATGCATTTTCATGAAAACTATTTCTATAAACTAATCTGGAAACTATTCAATGATTATAATTACTTTAAGCCTATCTGATAGGTATTTAATGATTATTATAGTGGGGAAATCCCTAGATAAGAAAGGTTTAGTTACCTTTAATTATAGTAATTAAAGTATACGAGTAGTATATATAAATCAATACAAAACTGTTTCTTTAAAAGTTTGTTTTTTCGAGTTATATATTTTATTCAAGTGATACCATTTTCAACTTTTCAATTTCATATTTTCTGTTTACTTCTTCTTCAGGAAGGAGCTGACAACAGCCGGAGCAGCATAGGTGGTAATAGGAGAGGCGAAGGCAGCACCAGCGGCATAGGTGGTCACCGGAGCAGTATAAGCAGGAGCACTGTAGGCGGTATAGGCAGGAGCAGCAGCAGCATAGGTGGTGTAGCCAGGAGCAGCATATGTGGTTACTGGAGCGGAATAGGCCAGAGGAGCAGCAGCAGCGGGGTAGGTGGCAGCATAAGCCGGAGCAGCGGCATAGGTGGCCACAGGAGAGGCAATGAAACCAGCCTGGGCGGCGGCAATGAAGAAGGTCAAGCAGATGAGGAACTTCATGTTGATTTGGTTGTTTGGGTTTGTTGGTTGGTCAGTGACTGATGCTGTTCACCAAATTACTGAACCATTTTATAGGGAAATTTTCGTCACTTTACCAAACGGGTTTTGAAATATAGAAACCCTAATTAGAACACAATTGCGTCCGCATCAAGATTTTTTGTACGTAATGTTCGTTGAACGCGGAAGCCGCACCTTGGGTATTACCAGCCAACGGCGTGTCAAATGGATTACTCTTTTTCAAAATTCGCTTGAGTAGATGGCAACTAGTTAACTGCTTATCTTTGATTCTGATTGGTATTGTCCTAATTATTTAAATATACATTGGCTGGAGAAATGTTGTTGCTGTAACAAGTTTTACAAATTAAATATTCATAAAAATGCTTTAAAGATAGAAAGTAGTAATTTTTTTTTTTTATTTCAGGTAATACATTAAGAACCCTTCTGATAAAATACTTTTATAACAATTTTTGAGTCTAAAAGGTTAAGTTCAAAAATTTAAGTTTTTCTTAAGATTTTTAACCATATAAAATAAACACTTAAATAATCGAATTCAATTATAACAAAGAAATCATGAAAACCATAGTTAAATAACCAAGTTTATTCTATGGAGTAACATAAAGTTAAGCCATTTGATACGCCTTTCATTGGTAATAAACGCCAAGCGTTCAAAAAACGTTACTCAGCAGAAATCTAGTTTCTGTGACAATTCTGTCATAATTAAGATCTTGCTTTGGGAACACGTTTAATGGACAATTGCTATAAAATGGTGCAGCAATTTGGTGAACAGCATCAGTCACTGACCAACCAAGCAAACCCAAACAACCAAATCAACATGAAAGTTCTTCATCTGCTTGACCTTCTTCATTGCCGCCGCCCAGGCTGGTTTCATTGCCTCACCAGTGGCCACCTATGCCGCTGCTCCAGCTTATGCTGCCACCTACTCCGCTGCTGCTGCTCCTCTGGCCTATTCCGCTCCAGTAACCACATATGCTGCTCCTGGCTACACCACTTATGCTGCTGCTGCTCCTGCTTACACCGCATATAGTGCTCCTGCCTATACCGCCCCGGTCACCACCTACGCAGCTGGAGCCGCGTACGCCGCCCCCATCACCTATGCTGCTCCTGCTGTTGTCAGCTCCTTCTTGAAAAAGAAGTAAAAATGTATTGCCCACCATTTTTAGTGACCTATCGCAGAAATCCAATAGACAACATTTAAAGAAATAAAATCAAGATAACCTTAAACTCGATGCTATTACTCTTCTAAGTGGTGGTCTTATTACCGATTCACTAAGATCCAGCTGTGAATCAATATTCTTGCATACTTTTCGGCGGAATGTAAGCATGGGGATCTGTCGCTCTAAGCTATATCAACACGATTTATTAAATCTTGAATACATTTTAAGGTGTTTTCCTATTAAGAACATAAAACCTGACTTAATTATCTATCAATTTAACAAGATAAATGTTATAGCACAATCCATTTAAAAACATCATTGGTTAGAAAGCAATTTGCCTATTTACCATACGAAGAGTTTAGTAAAACCAACATAACCAATAATTCAATAGAAAAATACATTCAATTATGTTTTTGTTTTTAATTTTATTAAATTGTTACATACTGAACAGCTCTTGGAAAACTAATTTGATTTCTTATACACATAATCGAGCTGGATTATTGGACGGCTTGCGTTTCAATTGGCCTAAAAACAAAACCAATAAAAAATTCAAGAGTAAAACATAGCATAAAGTGTTGAGATTCCCGATTGCCAGAGGTCTGAGCTGAGTTGGAAGAGTTATGTGGAGAAATCGAAGACAGTGGACAGTTGTTAAGCTTAGCTTAGCTTAGTAGAAGGAGCGGATAAACCAAAGACCGATCAAGGAGCTAAGGATGGCGCTTACGCTGGCCAAGGAAGGAGTGTTGGCTCCATTGTGCTGGTTGCAGATGCGAGGCTGAGGGGCGGATACGTATTTGCAGATGGTGCCAGCGAAGTTTGTCTGGGCGCGATCATTAACCTGCTTGTCAAATTGCTAAATAATAAGAAATAAAATACAGTTTAAAAAATATTATATAAATTTTTAATTCAATTTCTAACCTCATTGAACAGAATGGTGGGCACGCTGGTCAGTGGCTCCTGGAGTCGCTGGGTGGCTTCACCAGCCTTCTTAAGCAGGACACTTCCCTCGGTGGAGTTAGCGCAGCTCTTGATGTTCTCCCAGTTGTTGATGTGGTTTTCCGTTGCACATCGCTGGCCGGGATAGACGTTGTCGGGGAAGTTCTTGCCCGCCTTCATTAGACAGTTGATGAAGTCAATCGTCAGGGACTCGCGGGTGTACTCCACCTGGTAGGAGTTGGCCTGAATGTGTTCGATGGCACAGGCGTGTACCTTGTTTCCATAGCACTCATTCGGTCCATGATGGCAGGTAAACGTCACCTCGGAGCCCTGAGTGACGAACTGTGGAAGGAGCAAGCAAAACAGCCATGCAAATGAGCCATTGTCCTGGCGTTAAACGGGGTTATGTGCCACTCACTGTTGACTTTCCGAATGGCACGAAGGTGAGTTCCACCACATCACGAAGCTCTCCTTTAACTGCCGGGTAAACCTGCTCCGTAATGAACTTGGCACTGTCCGGACACAGGGATTCGTAGTAGATGGCAATAGGGACCTATAAAAAGTACCATGATATAGTCTTAGCCTGATTTCTTAGAAACGATATAGTCTTAGCCTATTTTTTGATTAAGTCAAAGATTGACTTTGAATTACAAAATTTTCCCTCTGCTTATTTCTTTCTGTGTATAAATGGGCTGCACTCGTTTCAATAGCAATGTGGGTGGTTTTTCTAATTTGCATTTTTCGAGAGTGCATCCAAACTAAGGCATGCAAATCACATGCGGCTGAATGGACAGGGTCCAAATATTGCTGCTCTTTGTTTATCAATTGGGGACAACAGCCACATGCTCCAATCAACAAGCCAAAATATTGTTGAACTTGAACCATTATACATGCTAAAGTTATAGATAAGAATAATAAATAACTATAGTTAGGTTTCGAAACGAAAAAGGGTTTTAAATTTGATGCAAAAGAAAGCAGTAAGTTATTAATAATTTATGTTATTTAAGCCTTTTTAATTTCTTAATATTTGACTTGTGATATTTATGTTTGTACACTTGGTTTGGACATGTGACTTGTTATATCTTATTTACTTTACCAATTTAAGTGAATTCAGAAATGCCGGCAAAGTGGATAAAAAAGCATTCAAGTGCCAAAAAAAAATGATGAGTTCTTATCTATTATTTGTCAAACACCCAAAATTGACTTTTTCAGAAAAGATCTAAAGAGTGCGTACAGTCGACCTGAAAATCACTTAGTATACATTTTTATCACGTTTTTCCATATCTCATTAAATTTTAAACTTACGTGATTGTAACACAAATGTTTATTTATTTTCAAATCTCACTCGATTAATGCAATTTGAGTTGATTATTTTACCCCAAATTAAAGCTGTTAATAGATGATTCTCAATAAATGGGGGCTATCTCGAATGAAAAAAGTACTATTCATTCTAATAGTTTTTTACAGCTCGTGACTGAAGCGCAAATCATTGAACAATGCCAACCAATAAAAATGAAAATAATAACAAATATATACACTTCTATATACTCAAATGCAAATTGTATTTGCTGAAGTTAAAGTTATATAAAGCTAATGACACATCGCTGAAAGAACCCTCCATTCTTCTCGATCTAAACAACAACAGAAGCAGACACAACAGAGCTCAGTTGAGATGTGCACACAAAAAAATTAAGACCATTTGATACGTGATCGAGAATATATATAAGTAGTAATGAGGCATATATATATAAGGTGCGAGTTATTTATATTTTTAAGGTATTTAAGAGATGACAGCGTATAACATACTTTTACGTTATATACTTTAAAAATATTTAAAATGTTAAACCAAATTTTTAATGGAATATTTTACTATTAATAGACACCTTTTCCTTTTTCTAAAGTTATATCATTCGATTAAAGCAGATATATAAAAGGTTTGAAAGTCTACGAATGATATATAACCCGATTGAAATAACTACAAAACATATTCAACATCGGGGTTCACCTATTAAAAATTTATTCTATGTGTAGAACGAAGTTGCAGTTGGGTTGCCGGCACACCGGTTCCCTCTATGAGAAATCGAAACTGGTCGTAGGAAACCGGTTCTTGTATTGAAATGAAAATAACAACAGAGCAAGAGGGCCGCTCTCTGGCTTATTTATAATGTCAATTATGCTCTATGCTTTTCCACAGCGGCATTTTCCGATTTGTATGACTGGTGGTGGTGGCACAGTTCGTTACACTCTGCATCCAAATGCCACTTGTTGCTGCCACGAAAAGGGTGCAGCTTTTCTATGGGTTTATTTTTTTTATATTTTTTCCTCTACCTACTATTTGGTTTTTCAACTTAATCACGTCTTCACCTAGATGGTAAATGCTTTTCGGTGCCCCTGACACGCTTAGCTGTTGTGTAATGATTTAAGTTTAGCCCGCTGTTATTTTTGGCTTGTCTATTTCTCGCGGTTTTTCCATTATAATGCATTAGCCGGAAACTCACCTTTGCAGCACTATAAGCGGAGGCAATCAGGCAGCTCATCAGGAGGCACACAGCGACGATTTTGTGACTCATTTTCTGGCTTCTTGTTGTTCTGAGAACTCTTGAAATTATGTCTTTTTGTTATATATGTATATATATAATTGTCCACGAAACGAACAGCAGTCGTGATGTTAGCGGTTCGGTGGCTAAGCGCGAACTGTTGTTTGTTGTAGAGAGCTTGGCGTTATAGACCCGAGTCAACAGCGGCTTTCCAGACTGGAATGAAAGCGGCAGAGGTGCAAAGTCAGACCTGCATGAATTTTGGGCTGGGTTTGGTTTAATCGTAAGTATTTATGTACACATGTATGTTTGTATATATATAGAGTCTTCAATATTCCGGAGTGTCGATCGGTTGTTATTCCAGTCAGAGATGGAGTTTAAGCTGAGAGCATTGGGGGCAATGAGAGATGGAGTGGATCGATTATTTGATTTTATCGTTAGTTCATAAAAAAAACGGATCTTGATACTCTTGTTAATCTTTTTTCATTCATGCTATAAACTTTTTTTTACCATATATCTCTATTTCAATTAAGCTTATAATAATATTAAGTCCTATACCATATACTATTCATGGTAAACATATTTAAAAACCTGAGTTGTTCTAACAAAGTCCTTATTTTTAGCCTTAAAATTTTGAGTTAATGTTGGGAAGGAGACATTCACGTTCCAATAATGTATTCTTGAGATGTATTATAAACGAGTGATAAAGCCATGTCCGTGTATTTCAATACATTAAAACACTTTTAACAGAGATCAAACTTCTTTACCGTATAACTCCATCTTGGACCTCAGCTCTTATTATATTGTACATCACCAATTTGGCGGTCGGAAGGCTATATCTTACATATACAATATATTTGTTTCTGTATTTGCATACAATCCGCAAGGACTCCAAATGTTAGCTTTGCAATTATTGAAAACTTTCCAATCCCTTAGAACAAAACCTCAACAGAAATGTGTTCTCCAACTTTTGGCACCTGGGGAAATCAATGCCTTCAGGCCGACCGCCCACCCAGAAAGCGGTATCTTGTACATTTGCGTGAATTTTTATAAATAATGGAATTACAGATTAACATGCACAGGTCCTTAAAGGACGAAGTGTCCTCATTCCATCAGTCGCGAAACCGGAATCCCTTTGCTATTAAATCTTTACGAGCCTCCAGAATTTCATCCTGCAGTTCCTTAGCGGCTTCAGGGCAATCATTAAAGGTCAGAGTTCGATAGAGAACAGTCCAAACGGAATAGATCTGAGGGTAAGATATTATCATAATTAATATCTATTCTTATCTACAGTAATAATCCCAAAAACTTACACCAAAAAGCACGAGCAGCAAAAGAGGTAGAAGTTGAATATGAAGAAAATACTTGTTTGTAAATTGAGTTTGCACTGTTCCCAAAACAATTGAAAGGTAGGGAACCGCAAAGAGCGATGCGTAGAACAGCCAACGTTGTAGGTTTGTCATAATTAATAAGTTCTATTGATAAACAAAACTAAATCAAAAATAAATACACGTAAACATAGAACTTAAATCGATATTTGTTCAGACTATCGATTACTGACAGAAGTGCCAACCTATCACAAACAAAAAAATATAGTATTTTGCAAAATACTGACAGCAGCGGATAGCAGTTTTTGGAAGAAACTAGATTGAGGAAAGTCAATACTGAGCAACGCGCTTTACTTTATTTTTTTTGGTCTACTTCTTTGAACTCTGAGTACGGAAGTTAAAAATGCCGCTTTATTAGCTTGTCGGTCGCTGAAAGTCCCACAAGAAATACTAAAGTAAGTTCCGTAGCAGTCAGCCTTGCAGAGTTAGCAATTCAAATAAAAATTTATCGATAGAAGTAGTTTAAAACTAGTTAAATCTAAGATTTATTTAAACATTTGTGGGCGTGTCCTCAGCAGCCCCCACTGTGCATGGCGTATTGGCAAGGAGGTCAGCCGTTCGGCAGCCAATTATTTGGAACTTGACCTCGTTCTCGGGCAAGGCACCGCCCACAAAGAGTTTCGGCTGGCTACTCAAGGCCCAGAGCTCCTCCTCTCCCTTGGAATTCCGGTTGATCTTTAAGCCCGTAACGAACTTGATCTTGTGCGGATTGTAAGCCACCACTTGCAGATCGTCCGCCGTGTAATTGGATTTTTCTTCCCATTTCACGAGTGCCCCCAACCTGATAAGGCTGCAGTAGAGATTTCCCGACTGATCCATCACTTCTGATTCGCATTGAATTCCCCGGGTGCCCAGGGTTCGAAAGTGATCCTCGATATCGCTGGCATTCGGTGATTTCCAAAGAGTTTCGTTGTTGATAAGGGAAAGGGAAACCCTGACCTCGTTGAAGGCATTCAGGGTATGGAAATACAGAAAACGATCTGTAAAGGATTATAAACTTATTATTTAAATTTTTCAATTTGATGATTAAGTTCAAATATTCTATACCTTCCACTTCACTGGGACTCAGGCTTACTGTGAATATACCGGCCTGGGAGTTGCTGGAGCGCGCCAATCCTATTAAAGGTGTCGGCTTCATGGACTCGTGCTCTATGCGCCACGATCGACCCGACAAGGAGTCGAAGACGATCAGACCATATCCCCAAGCATCAGCTATATAGGCCTTACCACCGACACATCGATTGGGCGTTCCACTCTCTGCAAGATCCACCACCAAAGCTGTGAAGATAGACACACTGGGTGTGTAGGATTCGGGAGGAAGTGAGTGTCGTTGGATTAGCTCGTCCTTGACAAGGTCGAAGGTGAGTATTTGGGGAGGACATAGTTGAATGGAGTTGACCTGCCCTGAGTCCACCACCCAGAGTCGCCAGCATTCGTCGATCTGACAAAATGGAATATATATCTGATTTTATAGGTTTAATATTATAGCACTCACATAGGTCCTAATTGCGGAGGTGATGCCAGAACAATTATTAGGAGGCACATGCCACTCCTCATTGGGATACGGTTCCAGCCTAGGATTATCTACCACTGCATTGTCATCCGCGATCACGGTGGCCAATGTAAAGGGTGTGGTCATCCCAAGTCGCGGAATTGTGAGGAAGGTGCGATGTCTGCCCTTATCGCCATACTCAATGTCCACATCCACTGGCAAAAAGCGATTTCCCTTGGACAAATCATCGCTCAAGCTGAGGTTCGTCCACTGGTGCAGAGTGTGCAGCTCCTTGAGGACCAACTGTTGGCCCTGAACTGCACAGAACAAGCAGATGAGAATGGTTATCATGGCACTAGCTGAGGACCTGAAATGTGACAGTTCCGCGCGGTTCAAACGGTTTCCGAAGACTGAAGATGCGCAGGTAGGCTCAAAAGTTCTTAGCCCTCCAATAAAAGTACACCTGAAAAAATGAACCTAGAACCTATATATACTTTTAAAATGGAACGAAACCTTCTTATGAGCTCAAATTTTAATATCTGAAAAACTAAATAAAAAATACAAAAAAATTAAAAAGAATGAACAAAATTCGAGTAACATCCTTGCATTTATTTTTTCTAGTGTAATTGACCATCAAATCAAAGACAAAGGTCGTGTACCTGTGGCGGCCGAGCAAACACTTTCGAATAGTCCCAAGATTTATGGGATGGACATCTTTTATGTCGGCTTTAAGAGTGTTTACATAGATCTTAAGGGTCTGGGCAATGGGCATTGGACATCTAAAAGCAGCCCCGCCCCTGCAGCAGGTCTTCCACATCGCATCGCATCACCCGATAATTGATTTCCCTGTAGTCAATAGTTCCGGCAAATATCTTCTGCAGACGATCGGACAGCAGCCATAGTTCCTCTCGGCCATCCGAGGGTCTTTGGATAATCTTCATACCACTCACAAACTGTAGGGTGACCGGATTAAGAGCCACCAGCTGGACATTTTGCCGGTTGTAGGGCTTTCTTATGTCCCATGCAAAAATCCCGATGGGATCTAGAAAACCACAGAACAAGAATCCCTGCCTGCTAATCGCATGTGAGGCACACTGAATGCCCCTCCTGCCCAGGGTAACAAATTCTGTAAGCGAAGCACTGAGTCCCTTTTGCCAATTTGTGGCATTATTGAGGATATCCAAGGGAATGGCCAACTCCAACTCGTTGGACAGAGCGTGGAAAATCAGATGGCGGCGCAATCCAAGGCCAAGAGGAGTCACCGCCAATGCCAATGGACCATCCAACAGCTCGAAACTCTCACCCGCCACCGTGTGAGTTCCAAATTTGGCATCCGGATATGTAAATTTGTTCTCGATGCGCCAAGAGTTTTGACCCAAAACATCATATACCACTATTGCCTTGCTTGTAGGATCTGCCAAATAGGCAAAGACATCCTTGCATTGTCCCCGGGGAGGCGGATCCCTTACATCCGCGTAGATATTCACAAATCTGCTGACTTTCGCCTTATAGGAAGTTTCTGGTAAACGATAGCGATGGATCAACTGGTCGGTGGCCAAGTCAATGACCACTACTTGTGGGGCACAGTGCTGCATAAACTCTATCTCTCCACTGTCCAGGATCCACATCTGACCACAGGGATCAATATGAACCCGATAAACCGATGTTAAGCCATCGCAATTTGCTCCATGGCTACTGTGCCATTGGTAACTGGGGTAGGCCTGGATTTCACTGCCATTTTCCCGCTGCACGTTGGTTACATAGGCTAAAGAGTAGGGAACACCTTGGCCAAACCTTGGTGAAGTCACAAAGTGTCGAGGTGGACCACCGTTAGCTAAAAATAAAAGAAAGATTAGAAATATCGTATGAGACATTATGGGGAGTGCATTCAAATTTGACTTTATTATAAATAAATATAAACTTGATATTTTTTTCGTTTAACACCTGCGGCCAAAAATAATGATACAGCTGACCGGCGACAAAGAAATTTTCAAATAAATAACTTGCTAATTAACCGTAAGACAATCCATTTATCAAAATAAAATATAATCATTAATCGACTTTAGAATCAACTTTCTGCGACTCCCCAGAATATTTCAGATCTGCTTACCTGGGTAATAAACATCAATATCAATGGGTATGGGACTGTCCGGATTATAGCGGCCATCTCGGAGCACCTGTTCCCGTTCCTGTTCGCTGGGGAAGCCGTATTGCAGGTTCTTCCACTCAAAAACTCTTGGAATATCCCTGTAATCCGTACGGGAACTTGAAATCCGGAAAGTTGGGCTTTGGGCGATTAATGTGATACTGGGCTAGGCAAAGATTCGTGTGAATGATACCCAAAATTAAAGGTAGAATAAACCTAAAAGAAAGAACATTGTTATTACTGATTTTTGTCACTAAATAGAAAAGATAAACTTCTTACATTTTAAGATTTCTTTTGCACAATAAGTGATCCTTACTCGAGGGCTCTTGCCATTATACTAAACTAAAAGATGCCAAAAAACCATAAAAATTGTGAGACAACAAAAAACAAGAGTCATTTTAAGATGGTATATATCTTACTTGCTCCAACTGGTTTTTAAATTGTATTATGTATCAGTTTGGTTGTTTATATTCGCTCATTTCTCTAGAGTCTCATCTTTTGATATAATACTCTGGAAGAGGGCATGACTATTTTTTAAAATAGTTGGTAAAGAGTTACATTATTTAATAATTTCTTATTATACAGAGTTCATATAATCTGAATATTTAGCTTAAAAGGAATTTAATTATATAAAAGTCCATTGCAAATATTAATTAATATTATTAATTAAAAGTTAATTACTTCAGCTTTTTTTCTTTACTGTAAAACTTTAACTATTTTAACAAAAGTGTACAAAAATCTTCGACTAGTGGAACTTAAAGGATTTATTAGATTAAGATACAAACATAACTATTTAGAGTTCAACAGGTACGAAAGTGTTGATTTAATGAATTGACATTGAAAAAACCACGGACCAGTCATGGACTGATTTATGTCAAAGCTCTTATCACCAGTGTTGCTAGCCAAGCTTATGAATATTCAAACTGCCTATGATTCAGCTTGGTGGCTTTTATAGTTTAGTAGTTCAAACAGATTTGAGAAGTCTTGATTGCTAAAAGAAAGATAATCTATTTCAAATATCATTATTATTAATCTTATTTTTAAACTACTTAAAAAGTTATATTTTTCTTGAAAATTTATGAATATGAAAACCACTGGCGTTTTATTAATATTTAAATGAAACTTAAAAGGGTAGTCGTTTTGTTTTTGGGCTATCGAAAAATACAAATGGGCTAACATTATTATTTGACTCATTTGTTGGTTTATCTCTCTGATTTCTAGGTTGTAAAAAAAACAAATAACAAATTCGTGGAAAGAATGTATTTAGGGTCTGAATAAAATTAGTTATGTCCGATAAAAGGTTTAACATAAAACATTTTCGATTATACATTTAGTCTACCATCGTAAACGGTATAACCAAAATTGGAAAATTGGAATTGTTATTTTTAGCAATTAAATAAGTAACAACTGAGGGCTTACATCTTAGTACTTACTCACTTAATTGACATGTAACTTTCCATGTTCGAATTAGCCTACAAAATGATGTCAAAACAAAACTCATAATCGCTAATGAATAAATCATTGGGTGTTTATGGGCTTATAATCAGACTCGGCCCGTTGCCTTTTATATGCAAACTAAAGTGGCGGAGGCGCACGCCACTAAGAATTATACCGCAAACCAGAAAAAATGAAGAAATCAACTCATTAAATGTGGTAAAAACTAGTTGGACTGTCATTTCACGCCTCATTAATGTGGCAGTTGAGTGCAGCGTTCGAGCTTTTGCCGGTAACTTGCTTTAATTTGTTTAATTAATCAAAAATCATTTTGTCCATTGAGAAATTCTGTCCACTTCGGTCACCAAATACAACTTTTTATATTGGGCTTTCATAATGTTCGAACAAAGCTTTATGGAAGGGGGCTTATGCATTCAGTTCGAGCGAGCGCAAAGTCATAAAATCTTTATGAGTTCGAACTCGTCACTCACTTGGGCTTTAAAATTTTATTAGCGAAGGGGGAATCTTCGAAGTGTTTCTGGATTTCATTTTTAATCTTATTACGATAAGTAAATAACTCAAAGAAAGTCAATTATTAGCATGGTTTTAGATATATTGATTGATATACAAGGAAATTATTATTTTGATTATTACAACTTCCCAAAACCAGTTGCACATTTTCAGATTATTTTAATTACCAATCAGGAATACGTCTTTAAATATCAGCCATATAAAATAAATTCAATTTGATACAGTGATTCACGATCAATGTGGAGTTACCTATATTAGAAAGTGTTTCAATTGATTGGCCCCAAAACCAAATTCATAATCAATTAACCAATCCCATACGCTTGACTGCATGCAAATATCGCAGTCTGGTATAACATACAAATCTGTCCACCTTGCCCCTGTGCAATTTGTTTCTTGTTTTCCCATCAATTACTGACTGGAGCGGGCGATACTATCTAATCCCACCGACGCCTGCCATCGACCGGTTTAAGTTTCAAATTAATAATGGCATTTAAAACCGAATATTGTTTGATGCACGAAACTGGTCGTTTAATTTGGAATTTGCTAAAAAAAAATACAAATAATATTCTTCGCACAATTTGAGTTAACCTTACTCCAGTTTGCCTTAAACTCAAGTGCTAATATAAGAAATATGGATTTTATTTTCCAAATTAAGTAATATTTATAGCCAACGAAGCGCAAAATAAAACAACTGCCGGAAGCAAGAGTGTAGTATCACCTTGCGAATATTCAACAATCTCTAATACCCTGTTCCAGATATGGCCCGATATTGGTTACCACACTAATCTGCAGCATGTGTGGAAAGACTCGTTCCGATATTATATTATAGTGTCTTCGTTAATCAGGTAAGCTGTGACACTGCCATTCAATGCATATTAATGCGAAAATAATCCACGGTAAAGTGTCGCCGCCGATATTAACGTTTAATTAATTGGTTTGAAAGTCATAAATAGTTAACTTCATTACCAGCATTAATCATGCTTTGCAGCTTAGCTTTCTTGTAAGCGAAGAGAAACTATGAATAATATTGGCTAGGGTTTAAAGTTGAATGTGGAAAATAAATTATTTATATATTTCCTGTACAAGGATTTATTATAACTATTAGTTAGGATATGCATTTTGTAATCTCAATAATTTTCACCAATTTATAAGACTTTCTGTCAAATCTCTTTTCCTGAACCAAAGTTGTCTTGGGTTATATTATATGTTACGTGTCGTATTTTAGACACTTTGGCAACTCATAATTAAGTTACAATCTCCAACTTGCGGCACAGAAGCTGTCAGAAAATAAATCTCCAGTTGGCAATGTACTTGTCTGAGGAAAAAAACGCCTTTTAATATATGTTAAGAAGTATTAAAAAACTATTTCGCAACCCAAGACAAGTCGCCTACTTTAATTAATATTCTTATCAAATTATTTTTATTTTGACATGTACAAAAATCAGATTCAGATTAATACACACGAGAAACTGTCATTAAATTAATTTATTCAATTTACATTTATAGAGCATTATTTACATTGCGTATACGCAGCGTCTGCGCAAGTTTATTTCTTTTTACTGCTGTCCCAACGATCTCGTGGCTCGCTGATAGTAGTAACCACTATGGCGACCGCTGTAGGCGGTGGGTGGCACCGAAACCACTCGGGTGGTGGCCGCCGGGGCCGTTGTGCCCACCAGGGTGTCCAAATAGGAACGCTGATAGTTGTCCCTGGTCGCTTTGCTGGGCGGAAAAGCCTCGCCTTGATTGAGAGCTGTAAATGGATTTCGTGCGGCATAGTTGACGATTCCTCCCGTTTCGAACTTAAAGGGCGATTTGGTGGTAAAGGGCGTGGTCAGCGCCGGACTGGTGAAATACGTTTGCAAAGCATTCGTCGAGGTCTGACCGTGAGTATTGTAAACGCCAAAGTTCAACAGACTATTGTGAGTGGGTGCTGGAGGGAGAGCAACTCGATGACCCAGCAGAGAGTTGCTAGCAGGCAGTTCCAATCTCAAAATACGATTATTAAATTCATTGGGATTTAGGTTCTTCAGGAAGAAGCGATGGAACTTGGAGGCTATGGCATATATCACACCTGGTTCCGATTTCGTAGTGGTTATATCAGCCACAAACTGCAACTGATCTCTGTCAAATGCTAAGACCGATTGCTGATTAGTAGTTGGATTCCATGAAGCGATGGCTGTTTCAGTCAGGGGACTGAAGATCAGGCTGCTGTCAAATGGCGATACCGAGAGTCCAATGCCCTGGGAACTCTTCTTGCCCACCAGTTTGACATCCAGCATTTTACCATCTGGCAAAGGACCAGCACGTAGGACATTCTTGTGAACGGAGAAAACTCTGAAAGGTTGAGAAAACTCCAGTTAGTGATTGATCTGAAATCTGTGTTAAAAACTAGAATGTAATAGGTATCTCTTAATTATCATTTTAATTATAAGCCATCACAGTCTATTATTTAAAAACCGATTAATTTAATTGTACTTTTATGCCACTTGTTACTTTTTGGTGCAGGAAATTCTAAACATTAATTCAAACTGGCCTTTAATGGCCAGCAAACCAACTGTGTAATTATCAACATTTGTTTCTACTTTTTAGAATATGTCTGTTCATGTTTAAAAATTTGCTAATGAGAAGCCTTACATAACCGAAAGTTTCACGAATTAATTTAAAGTTCATTATTTAAACACAAGTTAGGCTAGCATTGAAACTTGAAAGTTTCTGTCAATGTAAGACATTATAGATAATCACACCTTCCTGAGATTACGTGACCAATTACTTTAAGCCAATAAAATAGCTTTTATGTATTTTCAGGGTATATTTATCTAGTTTACTGTTTCGTTTATTTTTAGAAATGGTTTTTTATTATATGAAAAGAGTTTCGATGAGTTTTTGGGAAAACTCGATCGGTTTTAAAGATGACTCACCTGTCTGTTGCCAAGGGCTGGAAGTAAACCACACCGGTGCGCTCATCGAACGTCAGACCAACCACTCCGTCCATTAAAACAAAACGATGCTCATGGATCTCCGACTGGGCGAAATCCGGATCGGGATACATGGCTGGATGGGATACCCTCCAGGTGACATCCTTACCACTATCATACACAATTATTCCCGGCTCAACGGTATCCGTGATATAAACAAATACATCATCACATCCCTTGGCTGTTGTCTCATCAATCACCATGTTGGTGAATAGGGATTCTCCACGCAGAACCTCTGGAGGAAAATCAATTCTACGCACCACGCGATCCGTAGCCAAATCCACTACCAAGATCTTGGGCGGGCAGGTGATTTCGTAGTCCTCTAGGGATCGTGAAATTCCAGCATCCAGCAGCCAAATGCGATTGCAGGAGTCCAGACGGAGGCGATAAACTGATGTCAGGACGAGATCACTGCAGTTGAAGTCACTGCGTCCTGTGTTGGAGAAGGACCAATCCGGAAAAGCCTGCAATGTGGGAGAATCCCCAAACTGCGCCTTGGACACCCAACTTACGGTTGAGGGAACTCCTGAAAAGAGCTTCGGTGTGGCCACGAAGATCCTATCATCCGTAACAGCAATTCCAGTAATTAGAACATTTTCGGGATTATAGAAATTAGGATCAGTGATCGGGGCCTGAGGCTCAAAGTTATAGCGTATGAGTTTCCACTGCTTGGCCACCTGCAAGCCAGGACTCAGAGCCTGGCTAACCGGCGACCAAATGGCGAAGCAAAGCACTCCAACGAGGATACGAATCATGGCAAGATGCGGCTGGAAAGTAGTAAAAAGAAAACCAGAATTACTTGATGTTGCAGTCACTGCAAGACCAGAATTTAAACTGTTGCAATTCAGCTGCGACTCGGGCTTATCTATCATTTCTATTTCCGGACAACCGTCATGGGAGGAAATCGGAATCAGAAATTTTCCCAACATAAAAATTGATGCCTATTGTATTTATTGATCATTGAGAAATTCTAAAAGCAATTAACAGAATTGTAACTTAAATAAATGCTTAAGCCTTCAGTGATACTATGAAAAGTAAAGAAGACCTCATGAATCTAAAATTATTTTAATTTTAAATGAGATTAGGGAACACCGCAAACTGTAATCTTTATTATATAATCTTGTCCAACTTAACAAAATAATTAAAAATGATTTATTTTTATTATAATTTTACTTTTATTACAGCTTTTAATTTGCTTTTGATTGGTATTTAACTATTTTATAGATCATTTAATGGTTAATGAGAAATTTTAAACTTGTTTTATATTTCTTAATCGCGTAATATTTTTAAGTGTACAGCCTTTGGAAACCACAAGCTATAAATGAATAACCAATAAGTAAAGTACCAGAAACCCTGGTTCGTGCTATTGAATGAATTAAATCCAAACGACTAGCAAGTCGTTTTAACCAATTGCAGACGATGCATTTCTAATTGCTGATTTATAATCTGCATACAATGTTCTAACCTATTTTATAGGATTCCCAGACAATTCCATTAATTTAAATGGTACCATGGAAGGTAATAGCCTTAGCTGTCACATCAAAGCCCTTTCTAAATATATGCACATATATATATTAAATACCTATATCGAGGTTGATACAGATTACATGCAAATGTGCCAATTCCGGTGTCGATGCCGGTATGTGGATTGCGGATTGCGGACTGGGGACTGGAGATTGAGTGGGCTTGGCGATTGTATTCAAATGAGTTCGCAATGCAGCCGGGTCAGTCCAGATTGAAGTGTCCGTATCCATCAGATACTTGCGCTTGCATCTGCAGCTTGCTTTAATTTCTCACGCCAGTGGTATCCCACTCGCAGTCACGATCTCAATGAACAGTTGCAAGAATTGCACTAAGAAAAATATGTATATTTATAGTGGTTTCTCTTTCAAAGGCTACTCTATTACCTATTCGATTACATTCATTAAGTTAATTTTTATAGATACTTGCTGGGTATAAACTGTGAACTTCTGGTATGATGAATATTTTTATAATTACTTAGAAATTCTTAGCTAAACTCAAGTGTTAGTTAGCAAATGCAAATAAGTTGAGGGTTTTATTCAGTACTCAGAAAAAATATGTATAATTTTATATGAAACACAATTTTACAAAATGACAAAGAAAATGATTAAGAAACAGATTTTGATAATTTGTAATATCTATAATTTCCTTATTTTCTTCTAATATTTCTGATTACTTTTTCAAGTTTCATAGTTTTTCCGGCAGTGTGCCAGCAAAACTCATGCGTTTTTTAATTGCTAGCCAAGCTTTGACACCGCAAAGACACAAGGAACTGACACTTTAATTTGCTAGCCACTCGTATGAGGAAAACTCAATGGTCGACATTTGAATATTTTGGCCAACTCGCTGTGGGCAGTTGTCTCTGATTTCGCTCAAATCATATGCTATTAAATGTCGGAGCCAACTCCAAGACTCGTTTGGATCTGGCAAATTGCTGGCAAACATGGCCAATGACGTACTGCATAAAACTTTCATTGGCGCGTGCCACGCTTAGCAGTTAAAGATAATTGAATTTTTGTAATTTTCAAACTAGCAACTGGCATTTGATGAATTACATAAAAAAAATAAGCTAAAGTCAAGGCTGATCTCGGCGCCACATGCGTAAAAGAGATTTATTTCTGCGTACTTGCGCACTTTTACATAACACTTGTGCAACTTCAAGCGGAAACTCGAGCAGTTTCCCAAATCCACAAAAAAAGAGAAGAGAAAAGAAAATAAATGAGAAGAAGAAAACTTGGATGGGGTTTTTGTCACCATTATCGGGCTCAAGCGGAACAAACAGTTAACAAAAAGTTTACAAGTCAAGAGTTACAAGCCACAAAACACGCAGCCACTTGGCTTTTTATAAATTTTATTATTATAGGTTTTTTTTTTTGACCGAAGTGCGCATTTCGCTTGATAGTTAGTCATTCACGATGATGAGCTATGGCAAGCTAATAAAATTTCGCTTAATTTTCGTTTAATTTGTCTATTAAATTTGAACACGAAGCGGTTCGAAAGCGTTTGCTGAAAACAACCTGGCTGCACGATAGAAACCTCTTGGAATAATTATTAAGTGCTGTGTAGTATTTTAAGAAATTGTTTGGCTGACTAACCTTTGGAAAATGGTTTGGTCTTGCTTTAAGACATGTAGTTTAGATCAATGATAAAAGAAGTTAATAATTAAAAGATTAAAAAGGTTACGGTTGATGCCCCTTTGAAATTGGTTTGCAAGAAACAGTTTACTAAGGCGTGGTTAACCAATTTAAGCTAACTAAGTAAATAAGGTAATTTACTCTAAGCTACTTTTACTTTTTGTATATCTGTAAGCAGATATATCTAGATACCAAAGCATGCTTTAATAAATATCTCTATCATAAATTCAGCTGAAAAATGTCTACAATAAATCGTCTTAATTAATGAAATATTACAAAAACCCTATTTCCAACAATGGCATAATTAGGTTTGTTTCATTCATTTAAAATATAAATCTTTTTCTAGACAATTGGGGTAACAAAAGAAATGAATACTTTGTAAGCCATATCTTGACAGGCCTTTTATTAACAAGTCCCTTTGAAATAGTTCCATAGCCAGAAGTGATGCAACGAAGTGTATGATTCCCTCGCTTGGACGCCGGAGGCCAATTAAGAAAAATAACTTCAACCTAGTTGCACTAACTAGTAGCACACACTCTGTGAAGCCAATGCAGAGCCATTCGATCGTGTGTTGCCTTATCTGAATCACAATGTTTTGCACCTTGTCTCTGAGCGAATTCTCACGCGTTCCACAATGGACATGAGACCGAAAATGTTTAATTACAATTGAGTTGTATTTTTATATTATTTGCGTTGAGCTCATTTGAAACGGCTACTCATTGGTACTACTCATAAAACATAAGAATCTGCTAAGAAGTTTGAGCGGAAGGCTAGCTCGTCGAAGGCTGATTAACACCTGCTTGTAAATTTGGTATTTTTGCCAGTGGCGGAAAAGGTCGCCATTTCAGCTTCCTTAAGTCCAGCAGACATGCGCACTTCGATATGCGGTCATAAATCCAGTTCGATTCAGCAGTCACGTAGTTAGTGGTTGCACTATTCGGCAGCGATCGATTTTAATTGGGCCCAAACAAAAATACAAAAACACAAAAATAAGTAAAATGCGTTTGCCAACAAAACTTAATTAACACAGTTCCGTTCTCCGGCATCAGCGGCTTCTTTTGGCCAGACACACCAAAATGAACTACAAAAATCACACTGACACACGCGATTGGCGAATTTGGCTAATAACTCACAATGTGCAACAGCATACCCTTGGCTACGACTATTAATTTGCCAATTAAAAATGATGGGCTCTATATATGTTATTTTTCAAATATTTATTGTATCAGATATGTAGAGACAGAGAGTGGCATTGGCAACGCCTCACAAAACTGCAGTCGAGCAGTTAACTAAATGCACGGCAATTTGCACTTTAACCGTTAGAAACCGCACTTCGCGTCGTGGTAGCAATTGCCGCGTTCGTTGCCTAAGTCTTTTGTTTTGTGGCCAAGCCAATTTGTGGTACATCTGGCATTAGCTTACTTTTGATACACTTTTAAGCTTGCTCCAGCTGCTAACTGAGAAGTGGCTGCTATATCTTACTATATCTTTAGATACTGTTTTTTTTTTACTGATCACGCGACACGTCTGAGCGTTGCGGTTGCCGTTGTGCGACTGCGTTCCGTTTGCCAGGCGCACCGAATTTTATAAGAGTTTGTTGTTTTGTTATTTTGTATTTGCCTAACAGCAAAGTTGTGACGGCTCCTGCTGCAAGCCAGTAATGCCACTCTTATACTCGATGGGCGGACATTCGGAGCAACTTTTCAGTGTGGCACACATCGCTCATACGGTCCGTTGTGCCAGCTTCCGCACATTTGCATTTAAGTTTCACAGGTTATGAGTGCTGGCAACTCGCCGGGCAATTGTTGTAATTCAGTTGTTATTTTACAGCGGCAATTGGGTTTTCTCTCTTTACAAGTTCATTATCGCTATGCCAATAAATAACTCATTCGATTTTATTCACGCATTTGTGAATTTGTTATATTAATATCAGCATATCAGTGGCGGCTGTTTTTGTCAATGGAGAGTCCATTGTACCTCGTGGTGATGATACGGAATTTAAGGTAAACAGACAGTTATAAATTAAATGTACTCGGGCGGCAATTAAAATACCACAACCAGTTCGAAAGGCCTGTTCAGCTTAAATGAAGATTTGTTTTATGCATATTTTTAGGAACCCACAATACTGCATTTGAATTTTCAGAAATTGCCCAGTCAAATTTAAGATTTATATTGAGCCTTCTGTTGAATTTGTTAATTTCAAAAAGTTCCCTAGTTGTTGGTCAATACTGGATTTTCAACAAAGTTCTCCAGCTGAGTTCAGAATTTAAAAATGTGCATACTCGTATCTAGGGTGTATATACATTTTCGTAGCCCCACAATTGATAAGTAATTGGCCAGTCAAACTGATTTTATGATTTATATGCCGCCTTTTTAATAATATTTATTTATTGAATTTAATATTTTACTAGTCATTAGCATACGGACTGGATTTTCATCGAAGCTATCGATCTAAGGTGTATTTACAATGTTTCCACTCAAAATGATAATTGCCTCGCATATTCATATTCCGCCTTCTGTTGACTATATTTAATTATAAATAAACTTTTATCTGCACCCTTTCGTTTCGCCCGTGGTAAATGCAGGACAGGTGTGTTAGAGCTTAGCACACAGACTTGATTTCCAGCGGAGTTGTCCAACCGAGCTGAACTGGAATCGAGTTTCATAACATGCACACAGGAACCCATTTACATTTGACCAATATTGGAGTCAGTGAAAGCCCATGAGTCCAAAAGAGCCGGCTCTTTGGAGGGATCAACTTGTTTGCTCCCAATTGAAAATGGAAAGTAAGTCGAACGATTTGAATTTTGGGTCTTTGGATGCGGGGGAAGAGGGGTGGCGCCCCAAATCGAAAATCTCAAAATGTTCTCTGCCGTCGACAATTTTCGTTTGTTGGCTGTGTGTGCGCTAACCCAAAATAAAAACGTGAAAAGCCCCACTTAAAAGGGGTTATGCAAAAAAGGTGACTGCAGTCTGTATATATCGAAACTGGTTTTCGGGCAGAATTAGCCAAGTTAGCATTAACTGCCTTCGGTTTGGTATTTGTTTGCATTGTGACACATGGAATTTGTTTACTTGCTCTCGAAATAACCAATTCGTGGATGAGTGCTGGCCGTTTGGGTCATTATCATTCGATGATTACTCTAATTTACACATGCTAATGTATAAATTCACTGCCTTGGTCCACGTATCTAATTCGACATTCACTTTGTTATTGACTCTCTTTCTGTTTCTGTTCTTAATTGGGATAATTTCGGAGAACACTTGGTCCAAAAGCTAATACAATGTTACGATCTAAATAAACGTTTATGTAGTACCGGTTCTAAGCACGCCGGTTCAAGGCTGTGGCCATTGGCCAATGTCAGCCGATATGGCCAGCAAAAGCAGGTGATATAACCAAGTAATCCGAGTCCGATGTTACGACATGTTAGCCGGGCGGAAACGTAGGTGGCTTGTGCCTATCCCGGGGCGTTTCGCGGCTATCAAAACTATCACAACTATCACAGTTTCCTTTCACAACAACGCCCTGGACCGATGCTCATTAGCCGTTTGTCTTGGCCATTTCGAAAGTAACCAATCCGCGGGGAAACAAAATCTCTGGCAGGTCTGTTTGGCCACTCGCTCCATATGACTGGGTGACGATGAACACTTCAAGATTAATAGCCGCAACGCCTTGCGATGGCTTCAGTTTGAACACAGGCAAAAAATGTGGTTGGTGAATTTGATTTTTTAAGAACGTTTGGGTAAAAATAATGTATTTAGAAATTTATATAAAAATTTATTTGAGTCTATTTTTGTATAAATTTTAAAATAAAATATTATTTTAAACTTTTAAGATTACTTTCAAAAAGCATTCAAAATTTGTATGAATTTGTTTTGCCTGTACCTAAAAGCCTTAATAACATATCTCCTCTTATTGTGTCCATTACGAAATGAACTTTAAATATGCTTCAAATTGAGGCTCTCCGGCTGTCCGCTGGCATTCTCCAAATGCCTCGTCATCGTCAACGTGCAATTGCTACATTTTCGCATTCTGTGCGCACAAATGTGAGTTTAATTGAATCAATCCAAGCGGACGGAGGCGGCTCTTGCTGCCCGTTGACAGTTTCATTACCGGCTCTGTCATCGACGACAAGGTCTTGATGAATTTGGTAGGTTTTTTTTGGTAAACAACATTTCGGGCAATTACCTCTGGGTCTGGGAACCTTTAAGTCTAACCCTTCTAAGCGCCGGATCTAAATTAACTAATATCTCGATCAGCACTAATTCTTAAGAGCTTTTAATGGGTCTACTGCTTAAGTGCTTGGCTTTTGGTTTTCCATAAATGCAGACCATTAAACCAATTAGGCCAATGTGGCTTGAAGGCTCCACCTCCGCAGAGGGTGTGCCAACAGCCGGTTTCGGTTTCCCATAGACACTCACAACTATACAGCCACAATTGTTTTGTATTATTTTATGAGGCCCATACTTTCGTTTTCCGTAGATTGTTAATACCATCGGATTATCAATATATCCTCCAATAATATTCAAGCACTGCGGTTGAGAGTTATTATTACTCTACCATTTGCTCATAAATCAGTTTGGAAGCATATAAAGCCACAAAGTTACCCAAAGAAGCATTGAAAAAAGTAATGGGGGTCATTTGGTATTTTTCATTAATGAAAAATGATGTGCCAACTTATAAACATAAACGATTTTGTTTTAGCAATTAATTAATATTTTAAAAGATATAATTATTTTGTGTTAAAATTTACTTTCTTCTTGAGAACCATTCATGTTTAATCGTAATCTTTTTTTTAGGTGCAGCTATGACCGTTTCTATTCTCTTGACGAAGGTCAGCACCATGCCAAAAGTGCTGCAACTGACTCTGACTTTGACGCCTGTGGCCAATGCGAAGTATGGCAGACTCAACTGATCCGATATACTATATAATACAGAGGGGGGAAGAGGGGTTGAAGTGCGCTGGACATGCATGCTGGCTTTGTTTTCAAACGTCAAGCTAATAAATTGCCCGAAAAGCACGCTTGTGGCATAACGAAATTTGAATACCTTTTTCAAATCAGTCACTAGAAGTATTTCTATGCTATGGCAAAAAAGATAAATTGCATTGAGTGGTGCATTTTTAAAATGGGTCTATATGGGTCATAGGACCAGCGGGTGAGTAATTTTTAAAAAAAAATAAAAATCTTGTAAAGGCTTAAATAGACTGAAGCTACAAAGTTCCCAAGCCAGAATCTTAACCCAACATAACATACTCTTGCTTTTCAAAAAGAGTAAAAATATATTAAATTTATGTACTTATTCATTAATCCGCCATCTATATTCAAAAGTTAAAAAACAAGTCTATTTCTTTTGTGCGATAGACAGAAATATGTTTTAACAAATTACCATACCGACTAGGCAACTGATTTTTCGTTTTATTTTTAGTTACCTACATAAGCATTTCAAATAATTTAATTTATTATTAATTAAGGAACAGACAGGAGAGCGTTGAAATAACAAAAAGCGTCACAAATTCGATTTACTCGCCTGGCTAATGCATTTCATATATTCTACATACTTAACATATTTTGTAGCTCATGACCACTGAGTACAAAACTGGCTCAACTTTTACCAACAGCCATGGCAATAAAAGCTAACTTGGACTACCGACTGATTGGAAAATTATTCAATTGATTTCGATCTAATACACCTAGTCTTAGCAACAATCTTATCTTAATTGAGCTTGATTGACTAATTGGATGTTTAATGTCTCAAATTTAATAGTTCCGACTAAGAATGGATTGTTTTTAATGTTTGTGAAGGTGTTAGCCGTAAAAAATTTAGCAACTTTGTGTACAAAATGTATTGTAGACTATCTAATACCGTGTATGGAAATTACCAGCCCCACTATTTGCGCAACACATGGCAATAAAAAAAAGTGCGTTTATGAAATATGTTTGCCGGCCAAGAGATAAATAAAAATGAGGCCAATTTGCTGGACTCGAAATGTAGTGGCCACCAATATTTTTGATTGCATTGCATGTGCTCTTGTAGTTTGTTTTTTGGGCTCACGCGGTTTATTGAATTTGTTTTTCTTTTACATTCGGCGTGATTTTATTTATGACTCCAAAATGTCAGGCCTTGCTTATCCCACTGGTGGCGTGGCTATAACTTTAATGTCAAATGGGTAAGACTCTGACCGACAATGGTAAGGAACGGTCTTTGGGTAGTGTTAGTGGAATTAATCTGAGAAAAGGGTTAGATATATTTGATATTTAAGATAGCTATACTAGGTAGATAGTTGTCCATTTAAAAATTTGGATTTAATAAAAAAAAAGGATTCTTTTTAATTTTGGGTATAATGTAATTATATATAATATATCTGATTTATCAAAAGAAATTATTATCAAGAAGACTTTATTAACTTATTTAACTTAATATAATTTTTTAAAGCTTAAAAAATCTTGAGTTCTGAAATAGTTTGTTGTATATATTATATATATTAACCAACAATTTAGCAATAAAATAGCTAAAATGCTACCACTGAGTTAGACCAACTGAAGTTGCAGGCAGAGTAGCATATTGGCTCAAAGAGATTTTAGATAAGACTTGTCGCAATTCAATTGGAGCGTCAGCGCTTATGACTCGGCCATAAAAAACGCGGCCCAAACAAACAAACCAGACGGAATGGAGGGAAAAATATTATTCATGCCCAACAGTCACAGCCAAAGGGGCCCAAATCAGTCAAGAGATTGGAAAATTAACATAATTGCAGTATAATAACAGAGTGGATTCCCTAAGGGGAGTGCGTTACACGCCTCAAAGGGGCGTGGTTAGTGGGCGTGGCACATTCAGTCAGTCGTTTGCGGCATGTCTACACCTGTGCAACGTTTTTGGGCAGTGGCGACCTTGTTACTCCTCTTGAGTCAGCATTCCGGAGTCCATGGATTTGGAATAAATTTGATGAAGATTCCAACTGAGAATAAAGGACAAGAGGCTTGCATCTTGGCTTTGCTGCGAAAATATTTCGATTCCGGAGATGGACTTTCTGGCTCCGTGTTGTGCATCAATCGGAACTATCAGTTACCTAACATAGAAGACCAGTTAATAAGAGGTATGAACACATACGAAAATTATCCTTGGAGTCTTTTGATTACCAACTCAAGGAGGGTTCATCCTCATCAAAGTTTCTTATGAGCGAAAAGCCACAGTGCTATTTCCTCATCGTCGAAAGTCTAGATGATGATGACTTGGATGAGATATTCGAGCACTGGAAGAGCATGGTGAACTGGAATCCCCTGGCCCAGTTCGTGGTCTATTTGGCTAGTTTGGAAGAAACAGACGAGGAGATGACCGACCTAATGATGGAACTTCTTTTGAATTTTATGAACAAGAAGATCTTCAATGTGAATGTTATTGGACAGAGCGAGGAAAATGAATTTTTCTACGGGAAAACTGTATTTCCCTATCATCCGGATAACAATTGTGGTAACCGCGTGATATCCATTGAATTATTAGATGCTTGCGACTATCCTGGTGAAGAAAAGGAAAAAGATGAAGAAGATGATGGCGAGGGAGAGGATGAAGAAAATGAAAATAGTCAGGAGAATTCTGATGAACAAGAAGAACAGGAAAGAAGACTCTGATAGTGGTAATAAAGAAGACGATCAAGAACCACATGAAAATAAAAGTGAAGAGAAAAATGAAGAAGAATACCCTCAAACTGAAGAACAAGAAGATAAGAATAATGAAAATAATATAAATATAACCACGGATGGAAATGAGGAGATAATAGGAAGTGGAGAAAGTGTTCAAGATAATTCACAAAATCAAGAAGATAATGTTATTGAAAATCAATCAAAAGATGACCAAGTGAGCGAAGAAATTAAAAATAGAGATGAAGGAAATGATCAAAATTTTAGTAATGAAGAAAATCTAAATGATGACACTCAGAATGGAGGTGATTATGAGGACAACTCCCGGCGTACTAAGTATGTCTCTTCCAAAACCAAGGATAACTTGATCAGAAAAGTTCGATCAGATCCAACTGATGATTATTCTGATAATTCTTTAAGCGACGGTAATGAAACTATATCTTATACTACAACTGAATCATACAATCATAATGAAACTCAAAGTTCAACCGAGCCTACAAATGAGGAAATAGGTGATGAGTCCTCTGAAAAGAACGATTTAAATTCGAACTCCTCAGAGCCAGAAGCCACGGTCGAAGAATTCTATCGGGCTAAGTTTGAGGATAAATTCCCCAGTGATCTCAGTGGATGTCCTCTCACAGCATCGTTTCGTCCTTGGGAACCATATATATTTCGCAACACCAACGAGGAGCCCGTCGAGGATTACTACTATGGTTTACAAGGAGATGGAGATGACTACAATGACACATTACCCAGCTATGGGGAATCTGAGGACGAGACTTATGGTGACCAAGAGGAAATGGGGGATAGCAATATCCCTGATACTGAATCTCTGTCCGGTGGAAAATTCAAGTTGAGCGGAATCGAGTACCAAATGGTGCAGACCATAGCCGAGCGTCTCCATGTTAATATCGAAATGCAAAGTGAGAATAGTAACTTGTATCATCTATTTCAACAGCTGATCGATGGGTAAACCATATATCTTATAACTTATTCAACATTTTCGAAACATAAATATTATTGTATATACCTACAGAGAAATCGAGATGATTGTGGGTGGAATAGATGAGGATCCCAGCATCAGTCAGTTTGTCTCCAGTTCCATTCCCTATCACCAGGACGAACTTACTTGGTGTGTGGCAAGAGCAAAACGTCGGCATGGTTTCTTCAATTTCGTGGCCACATTTAATGCGGACGCAGGATTCCTGCTCGGACTCTTTGTGGTCATCTGCTCTCTGGTGGTTTTAATGGCACAACGTGTTTCTGGCTTTCGGTTGCGGAATCTCAGTGGATATTTCCCAATTTGCTTGAGGATTCTGGGCATCTTACTCAATCAGGCCATTCCAGCTCAGAACTTTCCTATGACTTTAAGACAACTATTTGCGCTTTCTTTCCTGATGGGCTTCTTCTTCAGCAATACTTATCAGTGTTTTCTGATCAGCACGCTGACCACTCCACGAAGTTCTTATCAGATTCAGACTCTGGAGGAGATCTACAGCAATCGGATGACCATAATGGGCACCTCCGAGCATGTTAGGCATTTGAATAAGGATGGAGAGGTGAGTAATTACAAAAATGTACCTTAACGTTCTTACTATTTTATACTTTATACTAGTACTTCTTACTATTTTTATACTATGTTTACCTCGTTTTCAGATCTTCAAATATATTCGCGAAAAGTTTCAGATGTGCTACAACTTGGTGGACTGCCTTAATAATGCCGCCCATAACGAACACATCGCAGTGGCTGTTTCACGCCAGCATTCCTTTTACAATCCAAGGATCCAACGGGATCTTCTTTATTGTTTCGATCGCCGAGAATCCCTATATGTGTATTTGGTGACCATGCTGCTGCCAAAGAAGTATCATCTGCTGCACCAGATTAACCCAATAATCCAGCACATCATTGAATCGGGTCATATGCAAAAGTGGGCACGGGATCTGGACATGCCACGAATGATTCACGAGGAGATTACAAGAGTGAGAGAGGATCCCTTTAAGGCTCTGACTTTCGATCAGTTTCGGGGAGCTATCGCGTTTTCTGCTGGACTTTTATTAGTGGCGAGTTGCGTCTTTTTCATAGAGTTGTGCTACTTCAAATTTTTATATCGATCCAAAAGAAAAAGAATGACAAAACGTATGAAACAGCAGAATAACAAACTTTATTAGCTTTTAGATGTTTTTCATAATTGCTTAAATAATTCATTAAAAACATTTAAACAAATTTATCTCTACTTGCCTTTAGATATTTTTTAATTCCTGAGAAACTAAAAAATCTAAACATTTTATAGGGATTACATTCTTATTTTTCTGACTGACAAATATAGAAGTAGTATTTTTCGTGGCAAAAGTCATCGTGCATGTGCTGCCAATAGAGGTCAACGCAGTGTTCTAGATTATCAAGATTATTCGGTTCAGTATGAGCCCACATCAGAAAAGGGGCAATTTGGCCAGTGGTTACGGACATGAACATCCCCTCTTCGGCCAGGTCGTTTATATCCAACCAGTAGTGTTCATTAGGGTCGCGTTTTGGATGTCTTTTGATAGCAGTGAACTCCTCATCACTTTGGATACTGGCCAGAGATCCGCCCTTTTGCCGACAGATATTTGCTGCCGAGAACCAATTCTCTTTACGATTCTCCTCAAAGTAAAAGTACCTGGACCCAATCTTCTCGAAATTCTGCGGTATCTCTTCCTTCATTGCTTCTAGCTGCTCTTCAATCCGGTCAAATCTTGTATTGGTGTTGTTTATTTGAGTGGCTTCGCAGGTCTTTATTTGCTCTTGAATGGAAACCATCATATCCAGCAATGGCTTCACCAGATGATTCTGATCCGCAGTGTCCGATAGGATTCCATTAGGATAATACACAAAAAATAAGCAGAACGCAAGAAATGTGTACTTCAGCATCTTGAAAATGAACCAACACTGATTGCTTCAAATTCTGTGCAGCTGTATTTATTGGATGCTGATAAGCGCGCATTGGTGCATACTTGCACTTTGACTTTATTTCGGTTTAAGAGATAATATACAACAGAGAGAGATAAAACAAAACTACTTACTGAAATACATACAAAGACTGTACTTATCTATGTAAAAATTTTCCAAGAAAGGGTACAATAATCCCGCATAATAATAAAGATTAAGACATTATGAACAGTAACACGTAATAACATTTTTGAGTTTATCCCTTCTAAACCATACAATTTTTGTCATAGTTATTTATGATAACGACAGTCAACTCAGTCTTAAGCATTTTATATTTTAAATTCTATAGATTTCAATATAAATCAATTTCTGCCAGAAAGTATGCAATAGATTAAACGGTCAAGAAGATGGTTATAAATCCAGTTATGTATAACATCGAAGATCGTATAATCTTATTGATATTTAAGTAAGCAGATTTTTTGTGCATCACTGCTTCGAATTATTGATCTCTCGTCGACCGGGTGGAACCAAACATGTGCATTGAATTAAAGGCATTAAATACAAATTAAATATAAATAATGTCGAAATTTCCCTAGAAGATATTCATAAATATATGCTTATATATTAATATTTTCTTGGCACAATATTCAATTTATAAATACAGTATTGCAATACACCGTGGAATGCAGTCTGCGATGTTGCTGCACAGAGAGAAAACCGTTGGTTTTATTCGTAAATTAAAAATCAAGATTGCTTATGTTTTTAGACAATTTTTTGATAACACTTTTGAAATGGATTAAAAAAGTAATATAATACTTATGATAATGCTGTCTATATTTGTGATATCGTATCAAATGTTAGTTAAGTCTTTTTCAACCTCGAAATATTTTCTCCTTGTGTTCCTTGTTCATATCCGTAGAAATACCCGTACCCATAGCCGCTGGCGATGCGGCTGGTTGTCAAAAAAGCCAACAAGCGCGCACGCCGCCAACGTCAAGCTGTCGTCGGCACTCTCCTCTGTTGTTTGGCGCATCCTTAAAAGGTGGTGGCCCAATGTTCCGACCTGGTCTGTTCGGTGCTTTTTTGTACTGGCCTGGCCTGGCCTGGCTGGCTGGTGTCTCCGCATCTGATGATTCTGCCCCAAACCATATCTCGTATATGCTGGCTTTCACAGATTTTTATAAATAATATTTTTAGGCAGCACATTTGTTGCAGTATCATCAAATTGGCAGATTTGTGTTGTTGCTGGCCAACACAATTCAATCAGCTGCTAGCCAACTAATGTGGGCCGAAAATTTCGAAAAAAAATATATAAAAAAAGAAAATAATAAATACACAGGCGTTAACATATATTCATGGCGTATTTTTATATTAATGCTGACCAACTAAGCGTCGTGGCAAACCAAATGAATGGCGCCCAACAAGGCGTTGTGAAAATGTTTGCCGATTACTCAGCTGATAGTGAGGAAAATAGAGTGAATGAACATCGTAATCTTAAGGAAATTCTATATTTTTATCAAAAAATCCATCGATCTAAGGGACACGGAGACAAAATAAAAAATCAAATGAATGGCACTTTCCAGTTATGTTTAATATTTAAATGGTTCCAATAATCTTTAACCGATCCCAACTATAACCTATTTAGCAACAGGGTACTCAATTAGCCCTATTAAGAAATTTTACTTCCTCACCTGCGATAACTGGCCAATCACATATTTATCTAAATTTAAATATAAGAATTTCGTGAGTTCTTTATTAAAAATAGAATTCCATACTCTAGATACGTTTCTGCGCGTAAGCGTCAAAGAATCTCTTGCAAAAACGTGAGAGCGCACGATTTTCGTTTTATTTATTTTTGCTTTTCCCTTCGATTTCCATCTCACACACCGATTTCCCAGCCATCCACCCACACAGGAACTCTCCGAAGCTGAGAGAATATGTAGTGTAAACAACAAACGCATTTCATCTTTTTGTTATTATTTTTAAAAATTCCCATAGCACCATATAAGTCAATTAAGAGTTTTGATCATTAACTGAATGGATTTTAATGATCTAGTTTGTGATTAATGAGGATATGCCAAGAGAGAAAGAAAAACGAGATGAAATATTAATGGGCAAATAAGTTTTGCCAACCAAAAAAAAATCTGGCAAATCTATAAATGCAATGTGCGCTCTATTAACAATTTTTGGTTTGCGTTTATGGCTTTTGAGTCCCTAACCAGCAAGCACAAACACCCACCCACCCAGCAGAATGGCCCACACCCACCAAATTATGGCCGAGAGAATGCGGCGATATATAACTTTTGGTTTTGTTTTGAAATTCTTATTTCTAATTGCGAGTGCGTTCTCATCATCGCTGAGAGATTTCCATCGCAACCATGTATGGATTGGGCCAACGTGCAAATGTTGATTAAAAATTAGACAAAACAAAAAACGAACACGGCACCCATACAAATCCAGATACGTTCGCAGCTGCAGACACAGATACAGATACGGATACAGATTCATATGGAGAGTACTACGAATACTACCGCCTACGATTGGGATGCTCCGATCCGGAGGATCTTCACGGGTGTGTGTGTCTGTGGGTGAGCCATCGCGATGTTGTTTACCAAGATGCTCAGCATCGTCTGTTTCTCTGTTTCTCCGTCGATACACTGGGGAAAATGTTGATTCAACTTTAACATAATATAACATTCATATTCTAGCATTAAAATTTAAATTATATTTAAGACTTGAATTTTCGAAATTAATATTTAATATGTATTAAATTCTGTCATTGCTTTTAATTATGGTGTTAAATATTTTTTAGTATATTTCATCAAAGTTTTATAAGTCCATATAAAACACTTTCGTCGAAAATATCGTTTTTCATATATTTTTTAGTAATTTCACTTAAATGATATTATCCCTCAATAATGGATGCTTATTGTTAGCCTACAGCTTCTTGAAAATCTCAGAATCAACTTCTTGCTCTTTTTCCAAGTTAAAATCGTATTTAAAATTAGAAAAAAATATTTTGTAATGAAGCAGGGCATATTTTAATAAACAACATCATAAGACACTATTCAAATTCAATAATTTTGATAGTTCCAGAATTCTAAACAACTTTCCTTCCAGTGCACCATCTCAGAAATTATGAACGAAGCGAACAGAAGTCCAAAAACAAAAATCCAACGAAAACAAATTATTTTTAAAAGAAATTCAAAATTTCCCCCCGTCGGCGCAATGTGCATCCATGTGCTATGTGCTGCACGTATGTACACATGTGTGCCGCGAGACGATTGAGTATGCGTGCGGAAAATATCTAAACCGACTGAGGGTCGCCTGAATGGTATAAATATTAGCGCATCTCGGTCCAGCGACCACTCGCAGTTCTACAGCGAAAGTGTTGATTTGGATTTCTAGTTTTTCTTCGTCTAACGGTTAGTATCCACCAAGTCTGTCCGTCTGATTGACTTTTACCCAAAACGAGTCTGGTTCGAGTGTACAGTGCCTGATTTTCTTAAAAGTACAAATTTCAAAAGGATAGAAATCACAAATTTATTGGTGTATAGTAAGAAAAATTTTCTCAATATAAATTTGGAATTCCAGTGTCGAAGAGACATCCTTTTAAAAAAGGAAGCTCCCTAAAAAATACTTTTCCAAAAACATTTTCGTAAATATGATAAAGTTTTGAAAATTAACCAGTGTATTTAATAGGAACGAGAAGAGACAAAACGATATTTAAAAAATGTTCGAAGGATTCTATCCTTTTTAAAATTATATACCAGATATGAAAAGATTTAAAAATATCTAACTTTGCTCTTTAGAAGAGTAGTTTTAATTTTTCTAAGCAAAATGTTCGAGATTTTCCAATGTTAGATTTCTTTTGAAAAGTGTACTTTTTCCTATAAAGTCATATATGTTTTGGTGTAACCTCAACACGAACACAATTCAATCTCCAGTAAAAGTCAAATCCATCTCCACTACACAAATCCACACTTAACTTCTCCTTCTAAAAGACCGCCTCCGTTCTTCTTGTTGTTGCAGTAAAAACAACCAATAGCCAAAATGTGTGACGATGAGGTTGCCGCATTGGTCGTGGACAATGGATCCGGTATGTGCAAGGCTGGTTTCGCCGGTGATGATGCGCCCCGCGCCGTCTTCCCCTCGATTGTGGGTCGTCCCCGTCACCAGGGTGTGATGGTCGGTATGGGACAGAAGGATTCCTACGTGGGCGATGAGGCCCAGAGCAAACGTGGTATCCTCACCCTGAAATACCCCATCGAGCACGGCATCATCACCAACTGGGATGATATGGAGAAGATCTGGCACCACACTTTCTACAATGAGCTGCGCGTCGCCCCCGAGGAGCACCCCGTTCTGCTGACTGAGGCTCCCCTGAACCCCAAGGCCAATCGCGAAAAGATGACCCAGATCATGTTTGAGACCTTCAACTCGCCCGCCATGTACGTCGCCATCCAGGCTGTGCTCTCCCTGTACGCCTCTGGTCGTACCACCGGTATTGTGCTGGACTCTGGTGATGGTGTCTCCCACACCGTGCCCATCTATGAGGGTTATGCCCTGCCCCATGCCATCCTCCGTCTGGATCTGGCTGGTCGCGATTTGACCGACTACCTGATGAAGATCCTCACCGAGCGCGGTTACTCATTCACCACCACTGCTGAGCGTGAAATCGTGCGCGACATCAAGGAGAAGCTGTGCTATGTTGCTCTGGACTTTGAGCAGGAGATGGCCACCGCCGCTGCCTCCACCTCGCTGGAGAAGTCGTACGAGCTTCCCGACGGACAGGTGATCACCATCGGCAACGAGCGTTTCCGCTGCCCGGAGTCGCTGTTCCAGCCTTCCTTCTTGGGAATGGAATCCTGCGGCATCCATGAGACCGTTTACAACTCGATCATGAAGTGCGATGTGGATATCCGTAAGGATCTGTATGCTAACATCGTGATGTCGGGCGGTACCACCATGTACCCGGGTATTGCCGATCGTATGCAGAAGGAGATCACCGCTCTGGCGCCATCCACCATCAAGATCAAGATCATTGCCCCACCTGAGCGCAAGTACTCCGTCTGGATCGGTGGCTCCATCCTGGCCTCCCTGTCCACCTTCCAGCAGATGTGGATCTCCAAGCAGGAGTACGACGAGTCCGGCCCTGGAATCGTTCACCGCAAGTGCTTCTAAGCGATCTAAACATCACAGACACTGCAAACCACACGGTCAATGAGACCCAAACCAAAACACCACACCACACCACAGAACACCACACAACAACAACAAGAACATGAACAGCAACAACCAAATACCAAAACAAGATCTATAGCCTAGTGCTAATGATGATTAATCTTAAGTTAAAACCTCTTGCTGCCCTGCCATCCAAAGAAACAAAAACGGAAAACCGAAGGAAACGCGAATGTAACAGCATGTATTATACTTATATTAATATTTATTGGAAGAGCCGCTAGCTGGCGATGAAGGAGAAGTTGAGGAGACACAAGAATGCAAAATTTTACAGTTTTTAAAATAAATTATACTAGCATCCTCTATAAATTAAATCTAAATTTTAAACGAAATGTATCTTTTATTCGCTGCTGCAAGCGGTATATGTCTTGGTGCGATTATTTTTAGCGCCGCACAGGAAATTACGAAATTTTGCACGCCCACTGCAAAGAGGGAAATCTGGAGGCGGATCTCCTCGGCTAGGGGTGCACACATATGCGCCTGTTATTGGCGTGGGGATCTCTATATAGACGCCTCCAAAATCAGTCCATTTTTGCCCATTGCCAGTCGGCACAAGGAGCTACCCCCTCGTCGAGGATCTAAAAATATAGCCCACAGAAACAACAGTGGAAAATCAACCATGCCGCAGCAAAAACAAATATTTTCTAAAATTACAGTGAAGTCTGAATAGTTCAACCCAATGAAGGTTCAAAAAAATATTAATTTTGTTACAAAACAATTTAAAAAAACAAATGTCTTCAGATCTTCTTATCCTCAATTTTCAGGTTTGATAAAATTCCTTGAATTAATAAGTGTGCTGTGGCCTTGTTAACAGCACATTACAATTTTTCCTTTTGATCAGATGTCGATTTATAGCGTTATTAGATTGCATTCCTTTTAAGCACGCTTCACTGTACCCATCTCATATAGAGAGATGGCTGTTTTCTTTTTTGGAATCAACATACTATATGTAGCTGCTGGGAGAGGCGACCGCCGGCTGTCTTTTTAATTGCAGTGCCACGACCTCGGGGGCTGCGAAAATATCTTGGAATTTCAAGTACATGTGTGAGGCTGGGCCGCTTGTACTTGAAGATCGCGGAGGCAGATGGGCCTCCTCAGGATTCCTGGAATGGGGTGCCTAATTCGAAAATAGACAAGATATTTCCATTCTCTACTGTATACATAATGCATAAATGCACTTTTTATTGAATATTTTATACATTTAAATGCTTCAACATCGTCGCTGTATGCTTAGACAAAAAATAATTGAGTGGATTGCTTGCACTTAACATTTTCTTGGTGAGTGGTGGTATATCAGTTTCTCGTTTCTGGGACCCCTTGGTGGGTGTACATTTTAAAAATACTTGCATTCATTTTCAATTCATTTTGATATTGTATACACTTTCAGTCAATTTTGCTGTTGCAGTTTAAATTTTCGTTGTTCTTAGTGGTCTGTTACTTGTTAATTGGAATACTGCACATAAAACGATCCTCACACATCTCTTAGCTATAATATAGGCCTAGTATATTAAGCAGAACGCCCATCATCACGTTTGTTTTTCGTTTGTTTTTGTTTTTGTTAAAAATCCAGTCTATACACTTACATTTAGCGATTGAATACTTTATTAAGTACACACGGTTTAGCACATTTCGTTCCTCGATATCGATATCAGTGTATATGATATATATGTAAAGTATATAAATATAGATCATTAAGGCACATTTATGGACAGTTTACTTTTGATTGGACCTGCTCTCTCATTGTCTTTTTGTCGTTGCTCTCGCTTGGAATGCTTAAAACTTGTCTAAGTTTGTCTACGATAAAATACGAATACGTTACGTCTGCCTAAATTTCCATAGCTACCAATTATAAATAAGAACATTTAGCTTATACGCGAAAAAGGGAATACAGTTAAACAATAATTACAACTGGGTTGTAATAACGGATTTGCGAATGATGGTCGGCTCGCGTCCCTTGGGGGCCGATACCACCTCCGAAGAAACCAGCCAGGGCGATACCATATCGTTGCTGTTGTTGCTGCTGCTGGACGGAAACGGAATGCGACTGTTGTCCGGATAATTGCTCGGAGATTTCTGTGTCAAAGATCAAAACTAGGGTTAAAACGGCCAGCCAAATGGGTCAATGGACTTAAAATGGTTAGTGGAGTGCAGATTGACATGAAAACGAAAAGGCAAGACAGGCAACTTCGGCAAAGCCGGAGTTAGTATACCCTTGCAGATTAATAATTAACAGGTTTTGACTTCAAAATATAAAACTTAAATGGATCATTATTGAAATTAATAGGAAAAAAGTTAACTAAGAAAGCCCAAATTAACAAGGTCTTGAAGGTAATAAATCAGACTTGCAAAATATAAATATTAGATTCAAAATTCAAGTATAGTAATAATACCCTCTGCAAGAGCATAACCAAATGTTAGTTAAAATAGTTGTAGGCCAGTTTAGAGACAGACAGTAAAAGCATAGACATAAGCTGCGTGGTGCTCAAACCTTTTCACTCGGCGGCGCATCTACTTCGCTGTGGTTTTGATTCAGATTTAGATTCTGATTCATCTGCTGGTTGGTTTTCTGCGATTCCAGACGCTCTTGCTCACTGAGCGTGGAGAAGAGCAGAGTGCCAGCACTGGGCGTTGAGCTGCTCGCCGGTTTGGCAGCGGTTTCGGCAGTGCCACTGCCGCTGGCATTATTGTTTATGATGTTGTTAATGAATATTTCATTAATGAGTATTTCGGCAGCCGAGGCGTTGCTCAAAGCGGGAGCCGTCACTGACTCCGAGGCAGCAGTGGTAACACTGTTGGTGGGGCTGCTGGGCGTGCTTATGGTGGTTACGCTGGTAAGGGTTGAGGTGCCACCGTTCCCAGTGTTATTTAGATTCGCCGGCAACGATGACGGCGGAGTGAGTGGTGCACTAAATCCCGACACAAAGGTGGCATTGCTAAAGGGTGTAATTCCATTGGTGGTGGTGGTGGAGCTTAAAGTGCTGGAACTGCTGCTACTGCCCGTCGCTGGTTTATGTTCCGGTATGCTGAGCGTCAGCTTATCGCCTCCCTATTTTTTGTGGTTTAGCAAGCATACAGACACAAGCACACGGAAACAACACACGCAATACCACGGATTAACATTAAGTGCGGACAACGAATGAAAATAAGAACGTACAAACAGAAGGCATGAAACGAGTGCAATGCAGTGGGCTTAAACTGGTTCGCTGGCCGACAACTTACCACTGATATGTAGGTGGCGTTCAGGGAATCCGGTCCATCGCTGTGTGCATGGTTGTTGTTGTTGGTCGTGGTGCTGCTGCAGTTGCTGGTGTTCGTGTTGCTCGTATGCATGTTGCTGCTGTGGGCGGCCGGCACAAACATCTGATTGGTGAGCTTGGCGTTGCCTCCGGCACCCAGTTCCTCCTCAACGCGAGCTGCAGGATTAGTAAATAAATTAATGTTACTTTCTAATCAACGTTGGTTTAAAGGTAGTTTATACCTTCTTTTTAAATTAACGAATTAAGTTAGTCAACTTACCTTTTAGGATATTGCACTTGATGTTTCCAGGCGGCAGAGCTGTGGTGCTCACATTGGCCAGCTTCACTTGGTTATTGGGTTTCTCGTTGGCGTTCGAAAGACGCTTTAGTGTCTCCGTGTTGTGGTCCATGTCAAAAGTCTTGTTAATAGTCACCCTGCCAAAATATAACACTCCCCTTAGTATATTATAATATCTAAACATTGGTTACGCTACCTGATACTGTTAGCATCGTTAATGGCTTCATTTGCTAGCACTGATGGGGATGGATCTTTGACAATGGACTTAAGCAATGAGTCTAGCTCTCTATCTTTATCCGACAAGCCGCTCTTAACACTGCACAATGATATATATAGGCAACACAGAAAGACAGGTGAGAAACACACAGAAACAGGCAAATTAGTCAATTGGGAAAAGGGCAATATGTTTATAAAGGAACACTGATAGGTTAGCAGTACGAAAGGTTTACCTGAGCTGGCCGGAGCTAATGGAAGCCTTGCCAAAGCTGCCGTGATGGGAGACCGATGCATTTCTAAACGGATTGGTCTCATCGAAGTTCTTTGTAGCGTTCGGTGAGTACGGCGGTGTGTAGTCTTGATCCAATCTGGAAAAAGCGAGTTAGTTAAAGAAGTGGGTCAAATTGTTAATTTTATATATTTATTTCTTACTTCACAGTCAATCCTGCTGCCTTTCCAATGGAACCAATCTTGCTATACGCTGGATCGTCGTTGCTGAAGTTAGACTTCAGGGAGTTTCGGCCCAGCGAGGTAAAGTTGGCTGCCGCCTGGGAGGAGGAACTGATAGAACCGCTGCAAGCCGCATCCGGTTCAATAATGGCTGAGTTTTGGATGACAGTGAGCACCGAAGGCGAAGGGCGTTACAGTGATAAACTGGTCCGTGGAAATGAGCGAGTCGAAGGCATCGTTATTGTTATCGTTGCTGGGAGTTGGAGTGGAAACGTGGGAAGATATTAATGGAGTCACTGGTGCAGGCGGTTGAGATGCAGCAGCAGCAGCTGCAGCGGCAGCAGCTCGAGCATTAACAGAGGCTACAGCCGATGCCGCCGACTCCTGCGAAGCCTTCTGTCGTTCTCGCAAAAGGTGGGATTGACGACTGGCAAACCGCTGCGAAGGTCGCCTCTCAAATTGCACGGTTCTCCTGGCTCGACTCTGCTGAGTGGTCTGGAATTCAGTACGACCTGAATACCGGAAGCGCGAACCCATGCGGAAGAAGTTTTGACGGGCAGATGGACCTTTTACAGGAGCCCTTAGCCGGAAGAATGTGTGGTGCTCCACAGCGCACTTCCACAAATGTTTGCAAGCCTTTTCGTTATACAAACGGAAGACGAATGTGTGTTCTTGCTCCCTGCCCTCGTCGTCGTCCTCAATTACAATTAGTGTTAACTTCTTTTTCTTAAAATCCAGCTTGCTGATCTTGGGCCAAAAGAAAAGGCCGATCTTCTGATCTCGCTCGAAAACCAGTATGCCAGTGGGTGTGAGGCCTAGGTGGTATTCGCACCCATCCTTTCCAAGAACAGTGTGCATGTCAACACCGTACATGTCTAGCCACTTGGCCTTGTTCAAGAACGCTGTCTCTGCTTGGGCAGGCGTAAGACCCCTGCATGTCTTGTACTCGTCTAGTATGGCTATCTCCAGATCCTCCGTTTGCTCGGGCACAAAACGGAATTCGGAGACGGTGGCGGCCGAATGCTCCTGATTATCATAGTCGCCCAGTTCAGCTATAATGAAAAGAAATAATATCATTTATATAGAGGAAATTTATACAACTTTAAATTTAAAGAAAGTAGCACTTACACTGCAATGCCAAAGCGCAGAGTTCCGTTGACTTGTCATCCGGACAGTCTAGACGTCCCTCGAGAAGATCTTGTTTTAGTTGCAGAAAGAACAGGTAGCGAGTTAGTTCTTCGCGCAGTGTATTCGGTTCCGAAGAATAGAACTTCACCTTTAAACGAAACGTGTAAGGCGGTCCAACTGCGGGAAATGGTAGAATAATTAGTATTGTTTAGCCCACGTAATTGGATTCACACATCAACTCACTTTTGACCTGCTTCTTGATGGGTTTAGTGGGATCCAGCCAGTGCTTAACATGGTTGGCATCCGTGAACTGCAGCCCAAAGTAATCCTTTTCGATGATGTCCAGGGCGTAGAAGACCTGTTCATACAGGAAGCTGCCCAACGCTTTTTTCTGCAAGCACAAAGTGGTGAAAATTAATGCCTTCGGTGGGGGGCAAGTGTAAATCAATGCGACCCTGAACTAATCACGTTCGCTTAGCGGGTTAAATTATGTGCTGATCAGCAGCAATTTGCTTATTTTTATCACACAAGGTGAGGCAATGCAAGCTGTCGAGTGTCTACGTTAAGGTGGATCAATAATAAAGTTTATATAATACAATTATATAAGTGTAAAGTCGAGTTTACGTTACATTATTTTGTATTAGTTTAAAAGATGATCTTGATCGAACATTAGTTTTTTTTTAATATGAATATTATTTAATACTTTATGTAAGCTTCTTTTGATAAAAAAAAAATCAAGCTCTTAAGCCTAAAAATGAAAATGCTTATAGTTTCACACATTTTTAAGTGCTAATAACAATAATAATATTGACTTGAATTGCACTAACAATGGAGTTATGTTAACGAGAATGTGTAAATTATTTGGTAATAGAATCTGTTTCAATCGTTGAAGTAAACAAAACCTTTTCAGTCGAGCCGAAGCACCCTGCTATCTACCAATATACATTTATCTTTATCTCTTGTCTACTTTGGCCATATACTCTTATAAGATTTAGACCGTTTTATTTGTCTGTATTCAGCGATTTCTACCAACAGCAGTTCAAGCCAAAAACAAAATCAAAAATGTGCCAAATGTAATTCGATGTGGCTGGGAATAGTACTCACCGATAATTCGATGGAAAGGTCAGTGTTGTCCAGTAGAATGACGCGGCAGTCGATTTTGTTCTTGTTGACCACGATACGTTGCGGCTTTATTTGTGAACTGCCGCCACTGGTGACGGCACCACCACCCCCAGCCACGCCCACCGCGGAACTGGCAGCACCACCGCCCCCTCTTGAATTATCCACATAGTTGTTGCGCACCTTGCGACGGCTTAGAAAACGCAGCATTTTCAATGGATTGTCGTGTGTTTTGTTTAGGTTATATTTGTATATGTGTATGTATGTGTTTAGTATATGGGTTTAAGGTTGATGGTTTTATTTTGTTTTTGTTTTTTTTTATGGAACTGTTGCCAAGGCAGCCGAATGCACCGATAATTCACCTGTGTGCTCACCTCGGCTGGGAAAAAAAAGCAGCGCAGACATCAAAAAACCCCTCGAACGCACACACTCGCACACGCTGGCAACTTGTTCTGGCTAACACACATACATTCACTCATCATACCACTTATACAAATGCAAGCGTTATAGACGCCCCCGTTTTATTTTAGTTTTCCTTTTAGTTTTGAGTTATTTTTTTTTTGTTGTTGTTCACTTCTGGATTGGGGAGTTGAATTGAAGTTGCTGCCAAAAGTGGGTTTCTTTTCTACGGGTTTCCTTCCTTTCAGCCGCGTCCCCGGAAAAATCACTGTTAGCCTGTTTTTTTTTTGTCTTTTTGGTGGCGAAAAAGAAGAAAAAAGGCCAAGTCAAACACGTTCGTTTCGGGTTTCACAAATAACTTTTCTTTGTTATTTTCACTTTTAATATTATGCGCGGGAAATTTGTTACACTTTTCGTTTGTTATTTTGTTATTATTTTGGGCTACTAAGTGCACTTTTGGTGTTTTTTATTAGAATGTAGAATGACCGTAGTAGTTGTTGTTGATGTTTAATGAAGCAGTGTGACCAGACTGACTGACCATCAACAATACCAAATACAAATAAGGTGTTTGCCGAAAATATACTACTATCCTATATGTTTCGTTGAGCTGGGACGCAAACCGGGTTGTGAAACAGCCTAAGTGAATAATTGTCTTTTGAATTTGAATTTTAACGATATTTTTAATTTATTATGTTTTACTCATTTTTATTTCCTAGAAGTAAGTGTACTCTTGTTAAGTGATGGTTTAAGTAGTATATTGCAGATGAGTAATTTAAAATTGTATCTACTATTTCTGTGAACTTTAATCTTACTATAATCTTACTTTAATCTTTATATAAAAATTAAATTAAAAAAAAAAGAACTTGTGTGGAGTAATAAATAGTAACAGTTGATCGATTGTGGTGTTTGCATTAAATATTTAAAAGTAACTCTTACAGAAATTAAAAATGTGGCATTCAACAAATGGTCCCATTTGTGTGATAACATGAAGGATGCTGCTGCCTAAAATATTATTGTCTAATAATAGCCAAGGTTCGCTTTGAACATCTAATATTATTTATTTAATAAATTATTTCGCAAGTTATAAATAAATAAGCGGAAAAAGATACCAATAAAACAAAACGTTTAAGATGTCTTCTAAGCAATGTTTAAAAGAAATATTTTCAACATTATTTCGGTTTAAAAGGACAAGCCCCCAATTTAATCATAAAAAACTGACTTTTGCTGAAGGAGCGTTCAGGAGCGGCAGCAAAACTTGTTGGCACTTGCGGTCGCGCAATTCTTTAAGTTTAGTACAAGCAACTAAACTAGAAAGAAGTGCACAATAACTGTAAAATAGGAAACACAAGTGGGTTCCGTAGTTGCAGCCGGCATTTGCAAAATCCTTTTTATGGGCAATTTATTCCTTTATTTGTTAGTGGATTTAAGGCCGAAACAGTGTCCACTCCCACACAACCCGACCCAACAACTTCCCCTAACTTCCGCACCCATTTCCCTCCGATTTTCCCTCGATTTTCCACACCCCCATTGGTAGTCGTATTTCGAGTTTAAAGGTAAATGGGAGATTTATCGCCGGCGATTTCCGGTCTACATATATATATATACCTAGTGTGTGTGTGTGTAGAGTAGGCGGTGGGTGGCTTAACATCTTGGCTTCGGGCCCTGTTTATATCGGGGTTTTAGTGGGCCCTCGAGAGGCTCGGTTTTTGGGGCCGAGGGCTTTACAACATTTGCGAAAAGTTGAAGCCATTGGGCGCCAATTGCATGATTCATTTTTGCTTATTGGCCATTAATTCTCAATTCAGATTGAACAGATTGAGGAAGATATATATGTGTATATATGTATAGGCATTTACATTTTTATCGAATGCATTAGAGAATCATATAGGCTGTAATTACCCGAATGGCCGTTATAACAGGTCGGATGATTAATTACTGACTAATACCTGAAACCCGATCCGTGGCCAGGCATCGATTGGAATCGGCCAGCAGCATCCCATCGCATTGCATGGCCTCATCTATCCACCCATCCACCCATCCAACCATCCTCATCCCCATCCCCATCCATCTATAATAACTAGACAGGCGACGATGCAGGTCTTAGGTGCCAGCTGCGGCAACTTGAGCAGCCTGTTCCGTAATTATGACAGGCTGCCAAAGGCCCAGACCTCCAGTACTCAGTTCTTGGATCCCCAGATCTCCAGATCGAGGTCCGGTCTCGATTTTCCCTGCCTCAGGGGTGTGGCAACAATTAACAAATGGCTTTCGTTGCCAATGCCATTGACCAAAATAGACATGTTTGCAAAGGGTTATAGGCTCATACACACACACGCACACACATACGTTTGCATACATAAGCGAAACGCACAATTACACTCAAACAAATGCATATGAAAATCCAAAAAAATAGATACTTGAAAAAAAGAAGAGTAATTATCATAGGTTAGATGATTATTTTTTTTTTAAATATTTTCAACAAATCAAATATGCAATAAAGTGTCAGGTGATTTCACTCAAAATTCATACATTTTGTTTATATTTTGAGATTTTGAGTTAATCAGTAAAATGTGGCTAGATAAATCCAGCTGACATTTCTCAAATTTTCCCAAAATGTTGGATTATACAAAAGAGAAGCTTGTAAAATTAAATAATTGTATATATTATGGGCTGATAAATAAATAGTGCCAATAATTTAAGGAATACTTAATAGATTTCTTGAGTTTGTAAATAAGAGCATTCCCCTACAAACTCAAACTCTAGGACTGCTTATTTCTCCCTGTACCATTTGCGGCTTTTGTATTGTCTTAACGATAATGGCAAGTCGTGGGTATGTAATACGAGGTGGGCAAATATTTGTGTCTGTTTGAGTGAGTGAGTGTGTATGTGGTGCGGTGGTGCAGAGTGGTGCGAGATGGTGGCGCAGGGAACTACAAAAGCAAAGGTAAACTATTATATTTATATGGACGTCTGCGGATGCTGCTGGCACGGCCCAACTGTCTGCGCACTTATCTGCAGCTGAGTGGAAAATAAATTCCTTTTAATTAAAACCGCAGCACAGCTCGTGATTTAAATGGCTCACGGCTCAGCCAGAATCAGTGGAAAAAGCAGGATCCGAATGCGAATCAGAAGCGCTGTGCAAATTTATTGGCTTCCATCCATAAATCAGCGACACAGTTCGACTTTGGCCATGGCCAAAAACCAAAAAAAAAAATAAAGGGGAAAAAAATAAAATAGGTATTCATTTTAATTAAATAGAAAAATGTTTTGTTGTTGACTCGGCTGATGGTCTTGGCGCTAAACAAAATAACATACTAACAAACTGATAAACCAAGAAAACTGGGCATGAACCCTTCCTTGGCCATCGAATGGGGCGAAATTCATGGCTGGGAATTCCGAGTGTTCCAAGTTTTCAGTAATTGGCTACTTAAGGTCCTTCGATTGGGGACAAGGACACAAGGACACTAGGACAAGCAGCCAGTCTGGGGACGAGTGCAATAAAAAACATCCTCGTGTTGTAAAATTTTATGTGTGATTGTGTGTCGCTTTACGATATCCTCCTGCCATCCAGCCTGTTCATTCTCCTGCTCCTCCCGCTCCTGCTGCTCCTCTCAAGTTCCGCCCATGGCCAGGACTCGTTACTGTCCGGAATGGGAGGCCAAAACGTGGGCGTGGTCGATAGATAGGCGATGGGTGGCTGGCTGGTTGGTTAGCTGGCTGGCTGGCTTGCTGGTCGACATTTGTTGTCTCAGCGAATTTCAGCCAGCAAAACGATGCGATTGCCGTTACCTGCTCACCTACGCCCTGGGGGAATATTTCACGGCTATTTGGCAAGTCAACAGCTTGTTTTATTTTGGCATGTAATTTTCGATGAGTATTTTTATGACAGAAAGGCGACAGAGAGCCAAAATCAATTGGAAATCAATGTTGCACTAGTTTTCACAGCTTTCCTTTTCACTTACAAGCTTAATTAATGAGTCGCTTTTTAATTAATTAACTTCATTCGCGTCATTATCAAGAAACACTTCTAATTAAAAAACCAGAAATATTTCTGAAGAGACTTTTAATTTTGGTACTAAAATAATCTTACCTTCTAGAAGATTGATTTCACTTTCACTCTAATATTTTCTTTACTTTTTTGTAGTTTGTTTAAATGAAAATATAAGAGTAAACATTGTTATTTTTGGTGACAAAATCAACAGAAAACCAATTTCACAATCACTTTTATAACATAAAAGAAAAAAAAAGTAATTAGGCTTACATTAAGCTGCTGGCAATGAAAAATTCTCTGCCCTGCAGGGTGATATTTTAAATTACGCACAATTTATTTTATTTTATATTCAATTTAAAAAGTGTCAACTTTCTTCCTCATTTTGTCCGAATTTTTGTGTAGCCTGTGCGTCGACCTTCTGTCCATATAAAAAGCCCATATGAAACGCATAAAAAAAGTTATTTATGCCCCGCGGTCGGTCGCTTTTGTTGCAGTGCGTCGGGAGCGTGTCCTCGTTGGGAAATCGCTCCCTGATTTTTCTACAATTTTCCCTTAACACCACCCCTTTCAGTTTCCCCGGCGGTGACAAAAAAAAAAAAAGCGAAGCTGGAGGCCTTTTTCCGCAACTCGTTCGCCTTGGCCGGTGAGGTCGAAAAGTTTCGCAGCATTGCAACAATTAAAAGTGGCACAAGGGTCATTCAAACAATTGCCCATTGTTGTTTTCGGGGCAGAAGTCCAGGCGGTGGGTTTGAGGCGGGGCATTTAATTTATGCCACTAATTACTTTAAGAGCTTTGTGGCCGCTGCAATCCTGCAGATTGCGTTGCCTTGTATAAGATTTTCCAAGCCATTATGTACGCCAAAAGGTTCCAGACCATTCACAAACGCCACCCCCTCCGAAAAACGGAAAACTGGAAACGGGAAGAGCACTGGCCAAAGCCAAATAATATGCAAATTAGAATTATATTCAAACAGTTTTTTCTATGCCACTAGGTAAACGAAACTAAGCCAAAACTTTTACAACATCTTTCGTTTTGCTTCACTGTCTGCGGCTTTGTTGCCTCAAATGACTTTTGCCAACTTACCAAGCTATGCCACCCATCTATGCTATACTCCTCCCCAAAAAAAGGAAACCAAACTTCCAAAGGTTTTTCAGGCTATTTACACTCAAGAGCTTGCTGGCCATCTGGTCCGGGAGTATCTCCTACTTTTTGACCCAACAAAATGCCATCTGTGCCCCCTCGGCGGCAATAAAGCTGCAAAACTATAACCAAAGCACCAACTTTAAATTGTAGTTTATTTTATTGACGTGTTCTTATAGCCCTGACAGAGACCTTGACATGTGATTTGCCTTAATTACAGTGGGAGTGTTCCAGGAAACGAGCTTTGTCAGGAGGCACACTGAGGGAAATTGTTTTATAAAAAGATTTGTGATTTCTTTGATGGAAAATATAGAATTCAGCATTGTTAAAATAAAGATTTGATTAGGTTTTATACTTAAGTATATTTTTTAGAAAACATTTTATCTTCAAAATAGTTTATTTTCT